AGGACCTTTACGTTACTGGCATCAAATAAGAAATCTAATTTATGAGCGTATCTTTACTTTATTTATGACGTGGAACAGAATCTGAGTTCAAAGCCAGACTGCATAACTTTGGCCCAACATACCAATTCGTAATTAACATAATATTGTATCTAGAATGTTAGCATTTATAAAGTTAATTAGTAACCTGAACCCTGGAACAATGTGATATCCTGGAACAACTTGTAAGAATTTAATTGTTTAATTTATAAATTAGGCCTCTGCATTTATACAGAGTGACTTTATGATTATTTTGTTGGAAACATACAATATTCACATTATTTTTCTTTGAAGCAAAATACTACGCTACCTTTGATGATCAAGGGGGCCTCAGTTAACAGTGGGGGGGGGGAAATTCCAGTGGGCAGGGCACAGATGCAAAGGAGCCCAGAGCTGCTCACCTGGGTTTGGTTTGGCACAGGTAAAGGGTTTCCCCATTATGTTTTAAACTGTGTTAAGGCCTGGAGACTAAAACATACGAAGAATGGCTGCAGGACTTGGGTTTGGCTACTCTAAAGAAAAGAGGAAATAGGGGAGACATGATAGCAGAGTTCCAGTATTTGGGGGGCTGCCACATAGAAAAGGGAGTCACTTTATTCACCAAAGCACCAGAGAGAAGGATGAGAAACAATGGTTGGAAACCCATCAAGGAGAGAAGCAACCTGGAATTAAGGAGAAACTTCCTAACAGTGAGGACAATTAACCAGTGGAACAGAAGTTGTCTCCAGAAATCGTGGGCGCTCCATCACTGGAGGTTTTTAAGAAGAGACTGGACAGCCACTCTTCTGAAATGGTATAGGGTCTCCTGCTTGAGCAGGGGGCTGGACTAGAAGACCTCCCAAGGTCCCTTCCAGCTCTATTCTAAGATTCAGCCACTGAATCTGTCAGAGGAAGCCATTTATGGTTTCACAGGTTGCTGAATTTCCACTCTTATTGTGTGGCTAATGGGGAGAGACCCTGTAATTTAACAACATCTGGAGGGAGGGCAGATTTCCTCTTTTTGAATTACAGGTAGTCCTCAACCTATGACCGCAATAGAGTCAAAATTTGTGTTGCTAAGCAAGACAATTGTTAAGTAAATTGCATCCCATTTTACAACCTTTTTTGCCACAGTTAACCCAATCACTGTAGCTGTTAAGTGAATCTCGTGATTGTTAAGTGAATCTGGCTTCCCCCATTGACTTTGATGGAAGCCAGCGGGTTACCAATAGCGATCCCATGGAGGGGCGCATCTCGGGACACTGCAGATGTCATACATGTCATATATGTCATGTGCCCGAATTTTGATCATGGAACCATGGGCACGCCACAATGTTTGCAAGTGTGAAAAGGGGTCATAAGTCACTTTTTCCAGTACTTTTGTAACTTTGAACGGTCGCTAAATGAATGGTTGAAAGTTGAGGACTACATGTATAGGTTTTATGTGTCTATTGCAAAACGGAGAAAATTAAGGCAGAAGTTTTTTTCTTAAATGAGAAAGAGGACCATAAAAAGGGTCACTGGTAGCTCTTGGTTCTTAGGCGACCCCCTCGTGCTGCCTGTAGGATTGCACAGTCTCTGTGTGTCAGCCCCAGCAAGTAAACAGAGCAAAAAATCAACTCCACAACAAGACTAGAACTGCAGCTTATTAAAAGGGGCTATTTATTTATTTCATTTATTTACTAAATGTGTATGGCACCCACCTCTCTACCTAGAGTGGTTCTGGGCAGCTTACAATACCATAAACAGTGTACCATGAAGCCTTCACAGAATAGGAACATTTAACCATCAGACATTAGAAGTTAAAACATTAAAGTTAAAATTGAAACAGATAAAAAGAACAGTGTGTGGACCGGGCGGAGGTGAGGTCTTCCACCAGGACCCTGGGAGGGTTGGCGAAGGCAGGTCCTCAGGCTCTTTTGGAAGGCCAAGAGGCGGGTGCGGATCTCACCTTGAGGGGGGCGCCCTGCTCCAAAGGCAGGAGCCAGGGCAGAGAAGCCTCTTCCCACTGGACCCACCAGCGGCCCTTCCAGGCCCCTGTCTGACGGAGCGAGTGGGTGGGCCCTGCTCAGCTGCTCAGATAACCTGACCTTGGCTCTGATAGCCGAACCTTGCAGACCGGAAGCTTGTTTGCTTCCCCTCCCTCTTTTTTTCCCCCCAGTGAGTGAACCAGGAGGAGCCTTCCTGGGTCACTTCCAAATATTGCCTTGCTTCCCAGGTCTTCAGCAATGCATAGAACCATTGAGGCCTCCCCCCTGGTTGTACTCTCTGCAGGAGATTCCGTTCCCCTTTGGGATGTGAATTTGCTGTTGGAAATAACTGCTTCCAAGCAGACAGATTAAAATATTTTGTATCATTCAGCCTCTGCCTGCTCAGTCTGGGGTGTTTCGTGAAGGTGGGTCATTTTCCTGTCGCAGGAGGCCTGCGAATTCAGTTGCATGGAAGAAACGGGAGATGGGTTGCAGAAATGATACGTTCCTGTGTTGGGTTCCACTTCAGCATAGTTCCAGGACAACGTTGGGACTAACCGACGGTGCTAGAACTGGACAATATTTGAGAAGGAAGGAATTGACATTGCAGAAAAATAGCATTTTTTTTTAAATACTGCTGTCTTTTAGCTGTGAGGCTCTCTCCCCAGTGGGAAGATGGACCTGGGTGGAAAGATAGCATGGGCGACTAAGTGGTGGGAAATTCTGCTGATGACGCTGGAAAGGGGATGTTTCAGCACAGGTGACAAACGTAGCAAACAGCCCTAGGGAAACTTTGCCAGGCTAGGACAATTGTTGCCTGCTGTTGGTGCCCAGCTGCTATTTATAGGTATTGCCTAAACCCCCAGGCCTTTGCAGACAATGGCTTTGGGCCAGTCGTGATTGATGTTCTAAGGCAGTATAGACTCTGTTGGCCTCTGCCAAGGAGGACACAGCCTTCCTCGAAGACTGCGAGTTGCAGGGGAAGATAAAGGTCAGGAAAGAACTGGAGACAGCCCTTATCAGAAGATGATTTGTTGGGGTCTGTTCCTCATCCTAGCCCAAGAGAGCCACTTGAGTGAAGGTGCAATTAGCACCTGAACTTAACAACTGGAAGGATTTCTCTTTCTTTCTTTCTCTTTCTCTCTCTCTCTCTCTCTTTCTTTTTCTTTCTTTCCCTTTTTTCCTTCCTTCCTTCCTTCCCTCCTTCCTTCCTTCCTTCCTTCCTTCCTTCCTTCCTTCCTTCCTTCCTTCCTTCCTTCCTATTTATTTGTCATTCATCTCATGGTTTAGGCAACTCTGAGCAGAGTCTGAGCCTTGATGTTGCTTGCATCTGTGATCCTTCTTTAAGGACCTGTCTTGCGGATTTAATTCCAAGTATGAGAATCCTGTTCTGGGATCTCCTCTTCAGCCACTGAACTAAAAAAAAAGCTTGCTAGCTGTAAATTGTGTATCCACGGTTGGCTACAAATCTCCTGTTCTCCAGCTGCTTCCTTTGCTTTCACTTTTCAGTAAAACAGTGTTGAGTACTTCAGGTAATTTATAGCAATTACTGTAAAACAGTGCCTAGCAAAGTAAACGTCCCTTGGAACTGAGACTGGAATTGCCCTTGTCACTGGGGTAAATGAACGTTTCCCTTTTCTTGGGTTACGCGGTAACCTTCCCAAACCCATCCCCTTTGAGACAAATTGAGCTGCAGCGGCCAACATTCTCTGTGCCCAGTCAGTTGTGGCCCCATTTCTACCTGGGAACAACAATACAACACTCTTCAAGGCCACATTCTTGGGAAGGTCCAAAGTTTGCTGAAAAGTGACTCATAAGCCTCCTAATGACCGTTGATGCAGAGTGAGAAAGCAACCCGTGAACACGCGTATCAAACATATAACATTATACCGTGTTTATTGATTAGATTTATATCATGCCTTTTCATCCAGGAGTTCAAGGCAGCGTGGATAGATCCCCTTCCTCCACATTTTCCCCACAACAGCAACCTTGTAACTTGAGTCGGTTGTAATTTTGATGATTGGGCAAGGTCCTTCAGTGCCTTAACTGCCACGCCTCCCTTGTGTGTAGTAAGATCTTCATGCCCACACAGAAAAGGGAAAGAGATATTCTCATTTCCTTCTTGAAAAAAGGAGAAGACCCTCCTTCCGCTGTGGGTGTAGAGCAGTGTTTCTCAATCACCATCCATGCCTTTCATCAGCCGCCCATAATCAAGCCACCTCCAAGGGTGTGTAGCCCTTTGCGAAGCTCAGAGTCCCCACCCAGCAGACTTTTGGGAAATTTAGATGTTGCATACAGAACTCAAGCAGGGGATCCTAGACTGAGCGATGCCAAATTACAGAATGAAACATTGGCTTAGAGTGAGAGTCCCAAAATCTGGCAACTTTTTAAGACTTATGGACTACAACTCCCAGAATTCCTCAGCCGACTAGCCATGCATGCTGGCTGGAGAATTCTGGGAATTGAAGTCCACCTATCTTAAAATTCCCAAGGTTGAGAAACATTGGTGTAGAGCAGTGGTTCTCAACCTTTCTAATGCCACGACCCCATAATACATTTCTCCATGTTGTGGTGACCCCCAACCACTTATACATCACCGGGTTCCAGGGGCATGGCCAAAGAAAAGGAGAAAAAAATGGTGGACAGCCTTGTTTGGTGACCCCCGTGAAATTGTCATTCGACCCCAAATGGGGTCCCGACCCACAGGTTGAGAACCACTGGTGTAGAGAATACAGAACAAAAGAGCGTAAGGTTTTTCCATAGCCTAACAGTACATCCTAAAACCCACCTGAAAGGCCCCTAGTGGAAATAGGACTCTAATGTTGACGTCTTCCTTTCAATCATTTATACCCCTCAAAGAAGTCTTTGCGCCTTATTTATAAACAGTCCTTTTTTCAAACAGTTGCATCCTCTTTAACTAAAATCAGAAAATCTTGCTATTTTTATACATCTGCTTGAATGTCTACCTTTTGAAGCAGACGGAGCTATTCCATTTCCTCTTTTTCTCTCTCCTAGGCCGACTATATGCACGATGCTCTCCCGGTTAAGAATGGGCGCTTCCCCCTGCACCTGGTTGGCACATCGCAGCATGCATAGGAAGGAAAAAGGGAAGCCTCTGATGCTTAACCCCAGGACGAACAAGGTAAGTGTATCATGGGTGTACTGTACACCACGTCTTAAATTCACACTAGTGCCGTGAAACTTAATGTAAGGTGGAAGACTGCTGCAGGAGCTTTGTGTTGAGACATTCAGCAGTGCCAGATATTAAAAGAGAGACAGAGAGAGAAGCTGAATATTGAGCAGATCTACAGTCTGTTGATGGTTAGTAACTAAAGAGTTGCAATGTGGACAATTGTAATAAATCCCCTTTTTGCTTTATTATTGGGATCCCTTTTCGTGGCACCTAGTGCAACCTTTTGGACACCAGGGATGGTTCCGTGCAGAGATGGGCATCCCGTGGATGGGAGCTTCGTTAGTTTGTGTGGCCCGTTTTCTGCCTGCCCTGGCCCTTTGGCGGTCCACGACCTGGGGGTTGGGGACCCCTGCCTTAGTGTATGATGTAGATGGTAATCCAGTCTGCGGTTGACTCAGCTTGTGTCATGTCATGTTATGGAACATTTGTTTAACCATGGATTGCGGAATAGGCTACAGTTTGGCTGCTTTCACACAATATAGATAGTCCTTAACTTACGACCACAGTTGACCCCAAAATTTATGTTGTTAAGTGAGACATTTGTTAGGTGAGTTTTGCCCCCATCTTACAACCTTCCTTGCCTCAGTTGTTAAGTGAATCACTGCAGTTGATAAGTTAGTAACTCAGTTGTTAAGTGAATCTGCCTCCACCCCCCTTGACTTCGCTGGCCGGAAGGTCGCAAAAGGGGATCACGTGGTCCTGGGACACAGCAAAGGTCACAAGTCTGACCCAGTGGCCAAGCGTCTGAGTTTTGATGACAAGGCCATGGGGATGCTGCCAAGACGGTAACTGTGAAAAACGGTCATCGCTCATTTTTTTCAGTGCCAATGTGACTTTGAATGGTCACTAAATGAACTGTTGTAAGTCGAGGACTATCCGTATAGTGCAAGAGAATAGCACAGCCTGTTTCAGTCACTTTGTGTGTGAGAGAAGGGGAAAATGGGGGGAAACTGGAGTTTCTCTAGGGAAAAGTAGTATATAGCAGATGTTTGATCAACCGATTACCTGGGATTTTTTGGGTGAGAAAAATAAGTGTCTTTGTGCCTAAAATCCAGGTTTGGTTTGGTGGCTCAGTTGAGCATTTGTTTCACTGAAGCTGACCCACTAGAGGATGAAACATGCTGCGTAAACATCAGGGCTAAGAATGGCAGCCGTAGTTAGAAGGGCAACAGGGGACTTGCAGGTAATCCTTGAGTTATGACCACGATGGAGCTTGCCCATCACGAGTATAACTCATCATGGCCACATGGTGAGCAATTGAAAACCTATTTTTATTAAATGCAGCATCAATTTCTAGCTCATATAACCGGCTTTTGTGTTAAATACAATAAACTCTGGAATAGGAAGAAAATGAGCCACATTAAATAACGTGAAAGGAACAAATCAAAGAGAGCGTGTTGGTCTGGATCAGGGGTGACCCTTTTATGACTTGTGGACTTCACCAGGCCTGTTGAGTCATAAAGGGGCCATGGTTCCCCACCTCTGGGACTGATTAAGGACAAAGGAGGGAATCATTTTTCAGGTGAAGAACTAGTAGGATCCCACTAAAATCGTTTGGCCAAAGGACTTCCCCATACCTGGAGTGGGGGCTAATCTTCTCTTTTCCTCTTCCTGTCTCTGTTCAGGGCATGGCTTTTACCTTAAAAGAACGGCAGATGTTGGGGCTTCAAGGGCTCTTGCCTCCGAAGATCGAGACGCAGGACCTCCAAGCTTTACGTTTCCATAAGAACATAGCCAAGATGACGGATCCCTTGGAGAAGTAAGACCCGATTGGAGGAGAGCTACTCTTTGGGAGCTGATTCTCTGCACCTTCCTGGTGTTGGGTTCCAGTTGTGATCTGGAGAAGCACAGTTGCAAATATCCCAGACACGCTGGAGAGGGGGGAATGCTGGTTGATGGAGTTCTCCCTCCAAAGGAACCAAATGCATTCAAACTCTTCCATTTTTTGCCATTTTCAGAATATCGTCAACATTCGTATTTTATTGCTAGTTTTAATACAAAGGGGTTGGGGTTGGCAGCACTCCCAAACCTGGATTTGCAACTTTTCCAGAGTCTTCCACGATCACCTTACCAAAATTCAAAGGCAACTTCATTTTAATACCATTTTTAAAATAAATTCTGCCCTGTGTGGTTACCTTGGGTTAGGTTTAGTTCACCTATTCTGAGTGAGATCTTGAAAGTTTGATCTAGTTGTTAAGGTACCACGATAGAAACTAGGAGGCTGGAAGTTGTAGTCCTGCCTTAGGCATGAAGGCCAGCTGGGTGACCCTGGGCCAATCACAGGAAAACGGTCAGTTCTTGTCCCGCCTTTGGCATGAAGGCCAGCTGGGTGACCTTGGGCCAATCACCAGGAGACGGTGAGTTCTAGTCCCACCTTAGGTACCTAAGCCAGCTTGGTGTCTTTGGGTCACTCTCTCTCAGCCCAACCCACCTCACGGTGTTATTGCTGTGAGGAAGATAAGAGGGGGAATATTACATATATTCGCCACCTTGAGTTATTTATAAAAATAGTAAAGGTTGTATAAAAAGAAAATCTAATTATTTTTTCAGAATTATCCCCCCGTATGGCTGAAAATTTAGGTCCCACCCCTCCGGTGAAGGTGTAGCCCTCTTCCCTAGATCTTGAAAGGGTGCACATGCATATCAGTGTGCCTGTACATACACACATATAGTGTCCATCTGTGTTCGTTGATAAAATTGAAAGGCTGCCCATCTTGCCTCAAGGTAAGTCTGTGTTGTATAGTGACTTTTTAAGTTACAGCAGCCTTTCTTTTTCCTTGTTGACTGGAAACATATTTTATGACTTGAGTGTTAATATATAATCTTCCTGGAAGGAGAAATCAAAAGCTGGTTAATTGACCATAAAGTGACCTGCGACTGGACTGCATATTTCTCAAGAGAACTGCTGTTCCCCTTGTACAAATGTTGGCTAATCAGAGTTGCATTCATTATTTTCCCCTGATACAAAGATTTCTGCAATCTAATCCAGGCCCCGTTTTTTCTGGGGAGTAAATTGTGATTCATGAGGTTTATTTCTGAAGAGTTATATGCACAGCATTCTGTCTGTAGTCTAAGGTCATTTTCACAACCACCTACTATATATACAAGACCTAATGTTTTACACCCGGTTCGTCTGTAACGCTGGATATGGAATCTGAAACTGGCATTCATTCGAATGTGCATTCTGTATTAAAAATAGCTCTTGTCACCTGCTTTGTTTTCCACAGCAGCTTCATTTACTTGTCTTCCTCGCCCTCCAGTCTAGCAAACTGGAATCCTCACCTCTCGGGGCCCGGCCAGGGGCAAGATTGCCTACTTCACATCTGTCCTCCCAGATTCTAGCGTCTCCTCTCCAGAAAGCCCAAAATGGCATCAGGCTGCATTACATTATACACACGTACGGTTCTTTGCTGTTGGGTGTTCATTTCGCTTGGATTGCTTCCTTGTCAGTGGAGATTCTCAATCATCCAGGCCATGGTTGCCCCATAGGTGCTTTTTCAAAAGGCAACTGAACTTCCTTTGTTTTTTTCCCTTAAAGATGTTTTGCTTCTCATTCAGTCAAAACTGAAGAAGCTTCTTGGATGAGAAGCGAAACGGCTTTGAGGAAAAAGCAAAGAAAGTACAGTTGCCTTTTGAAAGAGCATCTTTGGGATGGCTTCCTTGGCTCCTGCCCCATCTTTCTAGCCAAATATTCCAGATTGCTAGCAACAATGTTTCAGAAACTTGAAAAGTTAAATTATAAACGGAAATAAACAGTGAAAGAGATTAGCCATTGATACAGGTAATCTTCAATTTACAACGGCACTGAAGCAACCCAAAAAAACAACACTATCCTGGGTTGTATAAACAGAGGCATAGAATCAAGATCACGCAAAGTAATATTACCACTTTATAAAACCCTAGTAAGACCACACCTGGAATATGCAGCCAATTTTGGTCACCATATCTCATATCCCAGTCAGCTTCTTTAGAAAATAAAACTGATAGTGACAGAAAGGCAATACAGTGTTATGTTTGAGGGTTGAAATCTGTCCCCCAAAAGAGGTAAATCTATATAAGCACACACATTTCCTATTGTTTCTCCGCTTCTCTGCCCACAGGTACATCTACGTGATGGGAATTCAGGAAAGAAATGAGAAGCTGTTCTATAGGATTCTACAAGATGATATTGAACAATTAATGCCCATTGTCTACACACCAACAGTAGGCCTTGCGTGTTCCCAGTATGGGCATATTTTTAGAAGGCCAAAGTAAGGACAGCCTTATGATTTTTTTTATGTAATTGTCACGAATATTTCTGCTCTTTCATTCTGGAAACTCAATAACAGACTCACTATTCTTTTTAATTTTATGTTTGTTATTTATTAACTTGGTATTCCTCAATAAAGCACTATTTCTGCTGACTGTAGTAACCCAAAGAATTGATGGTGACATTAAAAATTTCGATTTCTCTTATTTATTTATTTATGAGACTTATATACCGCTTTAAGTGCGAGCACTCTCTAAGCGGTGTACACCAATAAGCAATGTATATATATATTTACATTGCCCCCAACAATCTGGGTCCTCTTGTCTTATTCTTCTTCTTTTCTTCTTCTTCACCCGTGTTTTGTTTCTACTTAGAGTCCATTTTCTATTTTCTACCTTCCTGAGAGTTGCTAACTGGGGAAGGGCTGTATAAATCTTCTAAATAAAATGATTTATGTTTTTCTTCATTATTATTTAGATCTTCCTCACTTCCTGGAATAAATGTTCATTTCCTGGCCCTCATCACAAAAATTCTTATTTGTAGAAGCCAAAGAGACATGGATTTTCTAAGGCTCAATCTAGCTGATAATTTTGATTTCACTAAATAAGCTGGCTCAGTATTTCTCAGCCTCAGTGACTTTAAGAAGGGTGGACTTCAACTTCCGGAATTCCAGGGCTGGCTGGGGAATTCTCGGAGTTGAACTCCACCTATCTTACAGTTGCTGAAGTTGAGAGACACTGAGCTAGATAGTAAATGTTGTGATAATTTTTTCCCCCAGCAGCTTGAATGCTGATAACTTTGCATATGATCAGGTTAATTTAGTGAATCCAATTCAGAGCATCAGTGCCACAATATGGATAACACATCTCACACTAGAATTGGGTGGCACCTCAATCTATACAAAGTAAATAAAAGAAATGATTATGGTACAATCTACATAAAAATAGCCCTGTTAGAGCTCTCTAATTGAGTTGGACCAAGTTGATGAAGGATGATAAAGATTTCTCCCCCCCCCCTTGTAGTAACAAATAATTTTTATCCTGGAACTTGATACTGCTCTTTCTTGTCAGAGAATAATGGGAAAAAGACAACATTCACTCAACTATTTGGGTTTTCTTTAATAGTTTTTATTGAACATGTTAAGTTATAATAAGCAATACAAACTAAAACAGAGGAAAGAAAAATGGAAAGAGAATAAAAGAAAAAGCTAAAACTGCAATTAAAAAAATAAAACAAAGTAGAAAACAGAAGAATGATATAAAGACAATTGTACTTTATTTTTTCATCTAAAATTATATCATGACTCTTTTCATTCTATAAAATATCTTGCCTAATCATTAAAACCATAAATCTAAAGTTCATTTTTTTCCCTCATTTTTATGCAAAGAGTCCATAAGGGATTTTCAGTTATCAATAAATGTAAATACTGTCTTTAATCAAAGGAGTCAATTTGTCCATCTTGGCAAGTTTTGTGAATTTTACTGACTATGTGGGGGGTGGGCTGTGCTGAATCTTTCCATCTTCCGCTCAAGTGTTTTGAATCTTCCTTTCCTTTCTGAATTGTACTTATTCAGTATTATTGCCTGTTCAGAGATATTTTTTCCTGCTTCATTTCACATGACAAAATTAACTGGATGTGAATGTTAAAATCAGATAAATTTTGCTTTTTTGCAGATTCTGTAAGCTTTTAACAATGACATGGATCTCAAGTGCTATCTTAGTTTTACCTGTTTTTTTTCAAGGTGTCATATTCAACTTTTTAAAATGAATAAGGAGAAAGTATACCAGGTTGATCCTTGCATTTCTGCTTTGATTTCTTTGCAGAGGATTATACATTGCCGTAACAGATAAGGGCCACATCCGATCTGTGGTAAACAACTGGCCAGAGAATGATGTGAAGGTACTGGCTGTATTTTCTTCTTTCAGCTGGATTTTCTCTAGTACAGTGGTTCTCAACCTGTGGGTCGGGACCCCATTTGGGGTCGAACGACCATTTCACGGGGGTCGCCAAACAAGGCTGTCTGCCATTTTTCCCCCCTTTTCTTTGGCCACACCCCTGGCACCCGGTGATGTATAAGTGGTTGGGGGTCACCACAACATGGGGAACTGTATTATGGGGTCGCGGCATTAGAAAGGTTGAGAACCACTGCTCTAGTACCAGATAAGTTTCCTGGAGTGCAGCTAACAAATAGAGAGGGGGTACGCTCGCCAGCTAAACTATGAATTCTTTGTCACATTGTCTTTCCTTCTTCTTGTAATCTGATGCACTTCTATATCCACTTCTGTCCTTCAAGGCTGTTGTTGTCACAGATGGAGAACGTATCTTGGGCCTTGGGGATCTGGGAGTGTATGGAATGGGAATCCCAGTTGGCAAACTCTGTTTATACACCGCCTGTGCTGGAATAAAACCTGACAAGTGCCTTCCTGTGTGTATCGATGTTGGAACTGACAATCAGGTAAGTTGTTACATGTTCTACACCCACCAGATACCACTTGCTCGTCAGTGGTGTTCATTGGTGGGGTGAGATGCCACACAGTGGGAGTTTGGCTAGATTAACTTGGAAGTTCCTCCCAGCTCTTCCCACTACAAGTAATCCTCGACTTACAACAGGTCAACAACAGGTCATTTAGTGACCATTCAAAGTTACAACGGCATTGAAAACAGTGACTTATGACCATTTTTCACAGTCGCAACCGTTGCAGCATCCCCACGGTCAATTGATCAAAATTCAGACCTTTGGCAACTGACTCATATTTATGACCGTTGCATTGTCCCGGGGGTCACGTGGTCCCTTTTTGTGACCTTGTGACAAGCAAAGTTAATGGGAAGCCAGATTCAATTAACAACTGTATTACTAATTTAACAACTGCAGTGATTCACTTAACAACTTGCAAGAAAGGTTGTAAAATGGGGCAAAGTTCACTTAACAACTGTCTCGCTTAGCAACAGAAATTTTGGGCTCAGTTATGGTCGTAGGTCGAGGACTACCTGTATGATATTCACGTTCTCCAACAGTTGTCTTTGTTTTGTGACAAAGTGTGACTCGGCACACTTTTCTTAGTCCTCTTCTGCTTAAAACATCCGAGTCACAGAAGCCCCCCGGGGCCTTGTCTAGCACTGAAGAATTTTGACATGTTTGTGAACACATTCTTAGTACCTTTTTCTTAAATGCGAATCTCTTTGCGGCATTTGTAGAATATTTCTAATAGATGACCAAGGGTTTAAAGTTCCACCAAAGGTAGTCCTTGACTTATGACCGTTCGTTTATTGGTGGTTCAAAGTTATGGCCTCGCAAAAAGTGACCTACGGTCTGTCCTTGAGGTCACAACCTGGTCACCTGATCACAATTCAAGTGCTTGGCGAGCAACTTGCCATATATGAAGCTGCAGCATCCCAGGACGGTTTGCGACCCTCCCAGCGGGCTTCCCAGAAGCAAAGTCAATTGGGGAAGCCAGATTTGCTTAACGGCCGCATGACTTGTTTAACAGTCACATGATTTGCTTAACAACCTCCGTGATTCTTTTAACAACCGCAATAAAAATATTGTAAAATTGGGTCTGATCACGTGATGATTCGCTTCCTGATTGCATCGCTTAGTGACTAAAATTCCAGTCTCAGTTCTGCTCGTAAGTCAAGGACTATCCATGCCGTGACAGCCTTCTCAGAAAATGTCCTGCAAATATCCAGGTTTCCTAGGAGTGACAGAGTCTAATTCAGTGTCAGAGATCGGTGCGGTGACTTTGCTTTGTTTTTCCATTTTCCTAGACACTTTTGGAAGATCCATTTTATATGGGGTTATATCAGAAACGAGACCGCTCGCAGCTTTATGATGAACTAATTGATGAATTCATGGAAGCCGTGGTAGGCAGGTATAAATCTTGAGCCTTGTTCCACTGCAAGCATGGAAAGAATCCGTGCAGGTCAACAGACAGCCTTTCCTGCATGACCAAGAAGACGTTGATCTATTTAGCAAAGATGAGAATTGACAACTGGCATCCCAAGAGATGAATATGGTCACAAACTCCCCTTTTTGTGGGCCAAAGGGTGTTTTTTTTAACCACACAGTTGAAATTTAGCAGTGGAATTCCCTAAGAGGAAGCAGTGTGAGTGACATCCTGCCCTTCTGCAATGGGAAAACCTCAAGACCCATGCCCTGAAGCAACATTAGCATAGTTAAAAAACAGAAACAAAGATATGATGTATCCATGCACTTCGCTGTTGGTTGTCCTCTTCTTCTTCTTCTTCTTCTCCTTCCTTCCTTCCACCTTTCCCAGCACTGGAGCCTTTTCCATAGAACTGGATTTCCTCCTAAAACGTGTCCAAAGTTTGACACATTTGACCCTGGTCATTTGTGCCTTTAGGTATACCTCTGCATAGGTAGTATAGATGGCTCTCGACTTTGACCACAACGGAGCCTGGAATTTCTGTTGTTTCTTCATTTAACAATTGTTAAGTGAGTTTTGCCCCATTTTACAACCTTTCTTGCTATAGTTGTTAAGTGAATCACTGCAGTTGTTAGATTAGTAATCTGGCTTTCCCCGTTGATTTTGCTTGTCAGAAGGTCGCCAAAGGGGATCATCGTGTGACCCCAGGACACTGCGACCGTCGTAAGTACATGCCGGTTGCCAGGTGTTTGAATTTTGATCACGTGGCCCCGGGGAGGCTGCAATACTCGTAAAGTGTGAAAAAAGGCTAGAAATTACTTTTTTCAGTGCCACTGTAATTTTGAATGGTCGCTCAACCATTTTGTTGTAAGTTGAGGACTGCCTGTGTGCAAATACCAGGTGCTTGCTCAGGACACTTAAATTGGAGAGGTGTGCAGGGTCTACGTGGCTGACACGGATGCTGCCTGTGCCTTCCAGGTACGGCCAGAACACCCTCATTCAGTTTGAAGACTTTGGCAATCACAACGCCTTCCGCTTTTTGAGGAAATACCGAGAAAAATACTGCATTTTCAACGATGACATACAGGGTAAGCAGTCAGCCTATTCCCCGTGTGCCCCTTTGGGCTCCGTTTTCCTCGCTTCTGCCTTTTAAGCTCCGGAGACATGGCGTGTCCTTCCTTCCCCAGGGACCGCAGCGGTCGCCTTGGCTGGATTGCTGGCAGCAGAGAAGGTCATTGGGAAGCCGCTCGCCGACCACCGGATCCTCTTCCTTGGGGCAGGAGAAGTGAGTCGTGCAGTTAGACTGCTGCAACAAATTTGAGCCCGTGTACTTTGCATTTAGTTGTCAAATATGAACGGTTGTTGAGCCAAACAGAGCTGGGATAGGTTAGAGCTAGACTGCCGCAGTGCCCTCTGTGCAAGGCTACCCTGGAAGACTGTTTTTTGCCCACTGGCTGGGGTATTCTGGGAGTTGAAGTCCCTGCATCTTAAAATTGCCAAGTGGAAAACCTGCTGGCCTAGGTGGTGTTGTGGGGTTGGGCATTTGGCAGCCTGGGTTACACGTCATCCTTAAACTCATTTTTGTGGGATCCAGCTCCCTGCTGTTCCCAGTTACCCTGTTGCATTTCAGCAGAGCCTTAAATTAGGGTCCCCCCCCCCAATATGAAAAATGTGGCCATTAGCCTTAAGGATTCAGCCAGTTGCTTTCCAGGTGGGCCCTTTTTCACTCTTGCCTTTTGAATAACTTAAACTATGATTCTCACTGTATTATTTTATCAGGCTTTTAAAACAGTACAGGTAGGCCTTGCTCAATGACTGTTGGTTGCTTAGTGACCGTTCAAAGTTGTGAATGGAGCTCCAGTTCATCTGCATCTGACCCAGTTTCGAAGGCCCAAGGGCTGCCCCTCCCCCACAGTCACATGACTGCATGCGTTGGGTGCTTAGCGACGGGGCTGCCTTTATAATCATTTGCTGTCTATTCTGCATAACCACATAACCACAGTTTTCAGCGGGGGGGGGGGTTGTTGGACATCAGGGTTTATCTCTGGTTTTGGCAAAAATCCCCAGTTGGTGCAATGGGCTTGTTTAATGACCATAGTGGTCATTAACCACTGCCACAGAAAAGTCATAAAACCAACTTCCAGTTCTGGTTCGCAGCATTCCTAGTCGCACGGGGAGACTCGTCTCCTCGTTGGCTAGCCTTCCCTCCGTTGTTAGACCCTTATGCGGGTCAAAAGTCGCCCTGGAGGGTGCAACTTCTGTCGAGGAGGCTCTGCTGATGAGGAGCGGCGGCTCCTTCAGCTGTCCGAGCTATCTCTGAGGGCCGACGGAAAAGAAGATCGGCCAGTAAAATGGCCGATCACCCTGCTGCTTCAAACCGCAAGTCAAAGAACATCTAAGCTGTAAGAATCCCTGTGGTGAATCCGGGTGAGATTTTTCTTTGCTATTCTATTTTATTTTGTTTTTGGTACCTGAAAGAGCCTTGTTGGAATAATTTCCCTGGCTTGAAAAGGCAGCTTCTACATTCCTTGGGAAGAAAGGTGTTCTATAAAAATAGAACAAAATTTTAAAGACTATATTTTATTTCTATATTTTTGGGGGTACAGAAAAAAAATTTCCTCTCTTTCTAAGAACTGTACTATCATCCTATGCTGGAAGATTATTTCTTTTTAACATTATACTTTAAAAGATAGAAAAAAGGAAATGGTGTCTGGAAAAGACCTTATTTAATTTACTGAGGACATCTAGTGATGAAAATTTAATACTGCAACTTCTGGTTACTTGGTTTGAAAATGGAACAGACCTGACCTTCAAAATACTTTGAAGAGAAAAGATAAGCTGTGCAGCTGTGGGAACTGTGGGGGGGTGGATATTGCCTAAATTATATCAAGTATACACAAAAAAGAAAAAAAGAGACTTTTTAAATCACTATCAAAATGGAGAAACCTCAGTCACAATTAAACTGTACACTTATATTGGAAAATATCTATGAGGCTACTGCAGAAATATGTGCTACAATGAAAAAGTTTACTACAGAACTAAGATCCAGAAATTTCACTTCAAACGTTCAAATGGATGTCCAGGCTACATCTGACGATGGTATAAATCAAAACATATTAGAAGAGGAATCAACAGAGATAAAAGAGAAACTTATTCTATCTTATAAACCTTCCATCTGCAACTTAGAGGAACAGAAGAAGCAAAGATTGAGATCTCAAACTACAAAGCAACGATGCTTCAAGGAGGAGAGAAATAGATGTTTAATGCAGAGGATGGGATTTCTATTCTTTCAAAGGCTACTGCAAGCAACAAAAATAGATCTACTGGCTGAAAGGGAAGCGTCTTTATGGAAACCTGCCTGGCACAGAAAAAAAGCCAGAATTAGACTGAAAAGAGAAATTTAAAATTGTGTAATGGATTAAAAGGCAATGTTGGATTTATGGATTGTTTTAAGGATTATGATTTAGAGTTAGAAGCAAGAAAAAATATAAATATATATATATACGAGGGTGATTATTAGAACAGATATTTTAGATAGATTAAGAATGTACTTTTTGGAATAATAGATTTATTTTGATGAAAATTATATATTGGAATTGAAAAATGTTGATTTCTTAGATTTGGATGGTTTTAATAACTAATGGAGTGTTTTAAATTAGTTAGGTGATCTTTTTGTACAATAACATAGATGTGGTAAGGTATGATAATCAGTTGGATGAAATTTGAAGTTTGTGTAATGAATTGAAACGAATTAAGGTTTAACATTATTTTTTTTAACTAAGATAGCTATTGTGTAGTGGAAGAAGAAATAAAAGATTGGTGATAAAAGGAGGGAGGAGAGAGATTAAGAATTAGAATACATCTGGAAGGGATACCTGAATTGATAACTTATTGATTTAAAGTTGAATTTGATTATGGTAATTGTAAACTGATAAAGTTTTAAAACAGGTTTAGTAGTAATAGAAATTTAATTTAGAAATGGAATATTTTAAACATATCATGTTATTTGAGGGAAATAGAGAGGGGACAGTGAATGTATTAAGTTGAGTCGTTTATTTATGTTTTTACTTTTGGATGTCTGATTACCCAAACACCACGGTGTATCCTGAGTACTTTTTCTTAAAAATTAAAAAAATCAATAATATATATATTTTTTTTTAAAAAAGAAAAGTCATAAAACCGGGTGCAGTCATGTAGTAATCTGCTTAATGACTGCGATGTATGATCGTCATTCTATACTCACAGTTGTAAGTCAAGGACTGCCTGTACTTTAATTTTCATTTTTTGTATTTGGATACTGGCTTTATTATTTTTACAAATAACTCAAGGTGGCAAACATATCCAACACATCTTCCTCCTCTTGTTTTCCTCACAACAACCCTTTGAGGTGGGTTGGAGAGAGTGACTGGCCCAAAGTCAACCAGCTGGTTTTCCTTGCCTAAGGCCGGACTAGGCTACTCCCAGTCTCCTACTTTCTCGCCGGGTGCCTTGACCACTAGACCAAGCTGGCTCTTATTGCTATTATTTTACTTATTTTTTAAACTTCTGCGTGGCATGTCCCTTTAGCATTTGTAGTCTCAAGTGCTCTTTCTCCTTGGTGGAAAAAAGTGGAATAGCCATTCAATAAGCCTATAGAAACCGAGAGAGTGACATGCCAAGCGTCACTTCTTTCTTTGTTTTAGTGTCCTCTGGAAATTGAATTCCAAGTGGCTTTATTGATGCCAACACAGCCCTGCCAAATCCGCACTTTTTCTCCTCTTTTTCTTCTCCATCAGGCCGCCCTTGGGATTGCAAACCTCATCCTCATGGCTATGGTGGAAAATGGTCTTTCTGCAGAAGAAGCTTGCAAGAAAATTTGGATGTTTGATAAAGATGGCTTGTTGATAAAGGTAGGGCGCCTGTCAGTTTTGGAAAGAGCCCATCCAGTGTTAGATCCATGTTGGTTTTGGTTTCCCGACCAGTTGTTTTTTATTTCATCACCTTTTAGGGCCGGGCAGAAGCGATAGACGTCAACCAGGAGCCCTTTACTCATCCAGCTCCAGGGAACATACCCAAATCTTTCTTGGATGCGGTGAACGTTCTTCAGCCTTCTGCCATTATCGGTGAGCGTTTCAGACCATTCCCAGGTTACTCATCCGATGGATTTGCTGCTTCTACATCTACATTTCTGATGTTGGAATTTCCAAATGTCTAAAGCAGTGTTTTTCAATCTCAGCAAGTTTAAGATGTGTGGACTTCAACTCCCAGAATCCCCCAGCCAGCATGACTGACGGGAATTCTGGGAATTGAAGCCCAGTTGAAGTCCTGGCTGGGGAATTCTGGGAGTTGAAGTTCACACGTCGCTTAAACTTGCCAAGTTTGAAAAACGCTGGTCTAGAGAGCCTTGCTGACTACAGAAAAATGGAGTTCTTTTCACTTTATTCTTTTCCTTACAACAAGTGGGAGCTTGCATACAATTCAGGGAATGTGTGTCGCTTCATTCCAAAACGTTCCTGCAGTGGCCACACTCTGTCCAAATTTCTCAACACAGAGATTTATAGCTTGTCACACTGTTCGGACAGCTTCTGCCCCACCTGCCTGAAAATATTTGGAACATTTTCTTTGAGCCGTGGTCTTATTTCCACTTTCAGGAGTTGCCGGGGCTGGGCGGCTGTTTTCTCATGATGTCATCAAAGCGATGGCCGACATCAATCAGAGACCCATCATATTTGCACTGAGTAACCCTACCGTGAAAGCAGAATGTACGGCTGAGGAGGCGTACACACTAACAGAGGTAAGCTAAAATTCCGAACAATCTTAGAGCATGATGGTTTTTCTCCTGGGCTTCGCCACTTGGCTCACTTGTTGGAGCTGCCTGAAGGCAGTCCCCTCTGGGATGGAGCCGCTCTCTTCCATTATGATGCCCTGAGGTGAGCTGATCTGGGGAGAGTTTATGATACAGGTAGTCCCAGTGGTGGGATTCAAATACCGAAACATTCGGTTCTCTGTGTGGATGCAGGCCTGGGCCTCTGAGGCCTAGAATGGACTTCTGGAAGTGACATCCATGCACTTCCTGTGGCCTGTTCTAGGCCTGGGAGGCTTCCTCCAGGTCTCCAAGGCCTAGAACGGACTTCCGGAAGTGACATCAACACACTTCTGATGGGCCATTCTAGGCCTGGGAGACCTTCTTCAGACCTCCGAGGCTAAAATGGACTTCCAGAAGCAGCATGGGTTCAGCTGGTTCTCCGAACTCAACAAAATTTAGCTACCAGTTCTACCGAACCGGTGCGAACTGGCTGAATCCCACCACTGGGCAGTCCTTGACGTAGGACTACAATTTATGGTTTGTACGTTGTGCTAGTTATTAAGCGGGTCACGTGACTGCACTTGATTTTATGATTTTCCGCAGTGACTTTGTGAATTTGCTGTCCACATTGTTTTTGTTTTTTTTTTTGCCAAAAAATAGAAGCAAATACAGGTTTCTGGCAGAAAAACCCCAAAACAAAACACATTCTGGTCATATGATTGCAGGATACTGCAAATGGCCATAAATGTGGACTGGCTGCCAAGTGTCTGAAATCTGATCACATGACCTGAGAGGTTGAGCAGTGTCCTAAATTGAATCTGGATTGTTAGTAGCTGTGAAGAGGTCTGCTGCTAAGCAAGTAGTCATAAATTGAAGACTACTGCAACGCGCTCTACATGGGGCTACCCTTGAAAAGTATTTGGAGACTACAGTTGGTCCAGAATGCAGCCGCGCGAGTGATAGTGGATGCTCCTCGATACACCCACGTTACACCTATCCTCCGTGAGCTGCACTGGTTGCCTATTGGTCTCCGGGTCCAATTCAAGGTGTTGGTCATTACCTTTAAAGCCCTATATGGCTCAGGGCCAGGCTATTTGCGAGACCGCCTACTACCTCATAGTTCCCTACATCCGGTTAGATCCCACAGGCTGGGCCTCCTTCGGGCCCCGTCGGCCAAACAGTGCCATTTGGGGGGGCCGCGGAGGAGGGCCTTCTCTGTGATGGCGCCCACGCTTTGGAATCAGCTCCCCCCGGAGATTAGGACCGCTCCCACCCTGTTGGTCTTCCGTAAGCTACTTAAGACCTGGCTTTTCCGGCCGGCCTGGGGTTTATAAAACCTTACCCCTGGATGATTGTTTTTGTATTGTTGTTTTGTTATGTTTTATGTGTTTTTTATTGTTAGCCGCCCAGAATCCTTCGGGAGTGGGGCGGCTTATAAATTTAAAAAAAAAAAAATACCTGTAATGTCTTATCTTTAGTGCTTAATAAACAATATATTTTCTGGGTTCATATATTTAACATTAACGTCTTCAATATAAATGTGTTCAATACTACTGATCCTCCTTTCTTCCCCATATTTTTCCATTTTTCCCTCATTACACAGTTACAACTTTTGGTACTGTTAATGTATACAGAGTTAGATATAAGCATCTTCATCATATTTTACTACTATCATACAAATAACAATAATATCAATTCATAAATCAATATCCTGTTTTTCGTGGTCATGTTAGGGTTTGATTTCTTACCAGTATTTGAAATATCTTTTGTCAGTTATAATTTTTTAAATTTTAATTACATTTACATAGCTAAAAGTTGTATTCATATCAATCCTCCTCTTATCTTCTTATTTCCCATATCAAAAAAAGAAAGAAAAAAAATGTTATTTTAGTTCTAAATCATATCTTTCATTATAAAAGTCTAATCATATCTAAGGGTTATCTGTTCTTTTAATCTTATTCAAACAAGTATTTAAACATATAATGCCCCTCTAAAAGGTCAAACCTTCTGTTTTTTAAATCTGACTCTTTCTATCTTTGCCAAGTAGCTTTCCAAGCCAGGGCAATTAGATCGCCCAGGTATTTTCTTTCTATTTTTATGAAAATTGCTTAGCATGAGGAAGACAATTTAGGTAGGGTTTTTTTTTTTGAGGGGGGGGGAATTCCGCCCATTTATATTCCTTAAACAACTCCCAATTTCTTTCTCCCTCAATTTCTCTTTTCATTCCCTGTCTCCCAAGTTGTGATATTTCCCCTAACAGCTCTAAATTCCATTTTTTGCAATCTTCTTCCTTGCCATCAGATGTATTTTGCAAACCTAAGGGGTAAAGGCTGTTTTGCATTTTCATTGTTATAGCTAAGTCTTGCAGTATTTTGTTTGTATATAAGTCATTTATATTGCCCTTCTTTTATCTCTTCCATCTCTAAATCCATTTCCTCTGTTTTGTCTTCTGATTTCTGGTTTATTTGTAGTCGTTATCTGGGAACTTTCGATTTGTGGATTTAATTTGGAGATTCGCTTATTTATATTGTCTAAATTGTTTTTAGTCTCATTATGATTTTATGTCCTCTTTGTCTGCAACAACTGTTTGGTGAATTAGTTGTAGCACAGAATATATTTCCTTCTGAAAAGTGTTTGTTTTTTCTTGAGGCATCGTTCCTGGAGATCTTCTAGTATCACCAGTCTCAGTAAGAGTAGATCAAAGTTTCCTTTAGTTTTCTGGTCATTACAGTATATATATCTGTTATAATCCAATAGATTCCAGAATATAGGTTCAGTCATGAAAGCAATATTTTATAGTGATCCTTTGTCTCGAGTATCCAAAAGTTGTCAATCAGGACAGGTTGTAATCCACAATGTTCAAAATGTTCAACCTCTCTGAAAACAGCTCAAAAGTCTCTCGCAGCCAGGTATAGTCCAAGGTCAATATTTTCTTTCTCTCCCACTAGCTCTTGAGGTTAGAAGTCAAAGCTCAGTAGGTATTTATAATTCAAGAAGGTCAAAGTGATGCCAAAATATTTTCCTTTATTGCCAGCTATCCCAAGCTAGGAGCCACCAAGCAGCCAGGAAGCAAATTATAGTGCTATACAAAAATCCACCACTAGATGTAAATCAAAGTCCATTTTCCACTCTTAAAACAAGGGATTGATTTCTTATATTTCACCTCAATGGTTTTTTTTTTTCAAAGAGAAAATCTTAACAGTTATCTCAGTTCTCAAATTTATCAAACTGTAGCTTTATGCTACTTCCACTTCAGTATTGTACATTTCTGTCCCCTATAAAATTAAAATGCCGCTTCTGTTTACATTCAGAGGTTTTTAACTTCTTCGGAGCCTTTCCCAGGAGATTCAGTTGTAAAATAGTAAAAAAAGGATCAATATTCTCACCCAGTTTCAAACATGCTGTTTACGATGTGTTATTTGGTGCCTTTTCTTCTTTGGTTGTCAGCAGCTATTGGCCGGCCACAGGAGTGCAGCAGGTCTTTCCCCTGCTGGTTTGGAGAGCTTTCCTTGGATCAAATGGAAAGATCACTGTCTCTCCATGATCACAAGGGCCCTAGCAGGGCGAAATCGGGCGTGGGAGGCAGAGCCCTGCCTTCCTGCGTCCCGTTCCACCGCAATGCAAATGTCAAACAATATCTTAGCTGGGCAAATTATAGTTGTTCTTATTTAGGATTTAGTCAGCTACAGAGCTACAGTTTCCCTAAGTCCTTGTTAACTCACTCACCCCAGTCAAAAAAAATGGGAATAATATCTCAACTGCCTTAAAGAAATATTTTATTGTGTAAAAGTTCAAGATTCCTGTATCAGGAAGACCTTGGTCCAATGACATTAAGCAGTTCTTACATTTAGACAGAAAATAGAGGTAGTCTCTGACTAAAACATCCATAACAGAGCGTGCCCATTGCAGTCATAAGTCGTAACAGTCGTAAAACACACAACCCACCCCATTTTAGAACTCTATTTTTACAACACGCATTAAGCAAACACAATGGTCATAAAGTGGCCACTCTAGTTATTTAGCAAACCCTGTAGTCATTAAGCAAACCGATGGTTTTCTATGGGCGTGGTTTTGCCAAAACTAGACACACGTTTTTTTTGGGGGGGGGTTAGAGTTAGGGTTAGGCTAACCCATTCACTGTCTCCCAGTTTCTAGTCTAAATGAGGGGTGGGATATAAAAATATCTGGATGAATTATATGGATGTACAGGCAGTCCTCAACTTTACAACAGTTCATTTTGTGACCGTTCACAGTTACAACGGCACTGAAAAAAGTGACTCAATACCATTATTCACAGTTACAACTTTTCCAGCATCCCCCCCAGGGTCACGTGATCAAAATTCAGATGCTTGGCAAGTGGATCATATTTATGATGGTCGCAATGTCCCTGGATCATGTGATCACTTTTTGTGATCTTCTGACAATCGGGAAACCAGATTCACTTAACAAGCGGGTTGCTAACTTAACAACTGCAGTGATTCATTTAGCAGCTGTGGCAAGAAATGTCGTAAAATGGGGCAAAACCCGCTTAGTATTTGTCTCACTTAACGACAAAAATGTTGGGCTCTGTGGTGGTCGTAAGTCGAGGGCTACCTGTAAAAGCCTTTCCAAAGGTGGCAGAGGCTCCTCGCAGCCTCTGAGCAAGGCAGGCCCCTTGGCTGCTGGGAGCTGTAGGGCGACGCTCTGCCCCTTTACCAACCCTCCCAGGAAGGACTTCGGGGAGCGGCTGGTGAGCCTCGCCCAGGCACCGCCCGGCCCTGATCCCTGGCTGAACGGGACGTTTTTCTTTGTTGCCCTCTGACCTGCACCCTTTCAGACTGGATTGAAAATTGCACATTTCTGTCTCGCCCCGGCCTTCCTGCATGAAAAAAGAAGGAAAAACTGCTAGCCAAAAATCCTTCTTTTTTCTGCATGCGAAGAACGATTCAAGTGCAATTCAGGGAGGAAGGTGATCACCCTTAAAGACCCCCAGGGCCTGGGACTGGGCTGCTCCCCCGTTGTTTCTGCCTGTCCAATCGAGTCAGGCGGGAGGGATTTGCTTCACGTCTCCTTGACCAAGCAGGGGGTCTCCATGCTGGCTGGGGAATTCTGGGAGTTGAAGTCCACAAGTCTTAATGTTGCCAGGTTGGGAGACCCCCTGGCCTGTACCGCTTGGGGCGCTGAGATGTGCCTTTTCTGCCATGGGATCCACCCGCTGGAACATTCTCCCTCCGGAGATCAGACGCCTCGACCCTGCCGGGCTTTCCTAAGACCCCAAAGACCCGGTTCCAGAAGTGCCTCGGCTCACTCGTTTCTCTCTTTTGCCAGGGGCGCTGCCTGTTTGCAAGCGGCAGTCCATTTGGGCCCGTGAAGCTGAGGGACGGGCGGTCCTTCAAACCGGGCCAGGGAAACAATGCCTACATATTTCCAGGTAAAGCCTTGGAGCTCCTGCCTGGTCGATTCGTTCTTTTCAAACGGCCTGTCAGCCTTGCAGGGCAGTCCCAGATGCGAAGCGCTCCCGGAAGGAGCGGCTCTACTTGATCTTAACAGAACCTTGCAAGTCTCAAAGCAAGTCTTCCCAGCCAAGACCCCAGGGAGGGTCCCTTCTGAGGCGTTTCCTTCTGTGGCTGAGCTATCTGTGGCCCTGCCTGCAGCTCTCTCCCCGTTCTCCCAGGTCTTTCCCACACACCACCGGATTCTGGCTGCTTTGCACAGCACAGAGTTATCTTTCCAGAGAGGAGCCTGCCTGAAATGTTCATGGAGCTCGGCTCTGGGAAATCACCTTCCGGTTTGACCTAGTCTTCCCTCCCTCCCTCCCTCCCTCCTTCCCTTCCTCCCTCCCTCCCATCGTTCCTCTCCTCCACCCCCCCTCTCTCTATATATATGTACATAAAATACATTATACAAGCACAGGCTCTGCCTTCTCTTATCTGACTGTTCCTAGACAGAATCTCTTTGCTCTGTTTCTCAAGGTCTTTGTATCATACCGTTCTCCTCCCTCCCTCCCCCCCTCTTTCTTTCTTTCTTTCTTTCTTTCTTTCTTTCTTTCTTTCTTTCTTTCTTTCTTTCCATTCCATTCCATTCCATTCCATAACTGCTCTCCAGACATTTTTTTTTACAAAAAATGAGATTTTGTTTTTTTAAAAGAATGCAGTTCAAAGGCCTTTGTACTTATTGCAGAAAGTATAGCCTGCTTAATCTCATCATAAAAATCTAGTTACCTGTAGTGTGCATGTGTTATCCCACTCCACTTGTGTATTTCCTTGTTATGTTCCTGTTGTTGTTTGCTGTGCCCCAGTTTTCTAAAGGTTTTTTACTCCCTGCATGCTTTGCATGAACCATAAAAATGACTTTTATCATTTAGAATCCTCCTCTGTGTGTCGCAGGTGTGGCTCTTGCTGTTGTCCTGAGTAGCGTCCGGCACATCAGTGACAACGTCTTTTTGGAAGCTGCAAAGGTAAAGGAGACGGGTTGGTTGGGATACTGAGCACCTGATCTTTTCCATCCATCCATCCACTCGCTCACCCAGATGTTTATCTTGCCTTTATTACTTTATAAGTAACTCAAGGCAGTGAACGTACGTAATACTCCTTCCTCCTCCTATTTTCCTTACAACAACCACCCTGTGAGGTGAGTTGGGCTGAAAGAGAGAGAGGAACTGGCTGAAAGAAACCCAGCTGGCATTCATGCCTAAGGCGGGACTAGAACTCATCACTGCCTGGTGATTGGCCCAAAGTCACCTGCCCGCTTTTGTGCCTGGGCTAGGACTAGAATTCACAGTCCTCTGATGATTGGCCCAGCCAGCTTTCGTGCCTAAGGCAGAACTTGAACTCACAGTCTCCTGGTTTCTACGCCAACATCTTAACCACTACACCAAACTGGCTCCCTGTATAGCTGTCTATAGTTGTCAATCGTGGGAGTGGATGACAGATCGGGTCCTAGACACCCGGACCCCCAAGATGTCTCCCAGGTTGGGCGAATGAAAGCTACTTCCAATAGGGACATAGGTTGCAATTTCTGTCGATTTGGTCTGGAGTGAAGAAGTGGCCGGGCGTGGCAGGGACTGTGGGCAGCTCTTCTTAGGGAAGGTGCTTTTACGGTGTCTAAGGGAGGCTTTGCTTCGTCCTCGAAGAACAGAAGTTTCTCTTGGGTAAACTTTTGCATGGGATGGGCAAGGTCTGATCAGCTAAAAGCTGTTCCTTTTAGCTTTCTTCAACGCACCTCAAGGAAACATGTTCCCAAAATGACTTTTATATGTTGGTGACAACAGAAGAGAAGCTCTCAGGGTGGAATGGTGGGTCCTTGGTGCTCGCTAAGCTGGGCTATTTTCTTGCAGACATTTCATGACCCAACTAGGTAACGTCACCATGCTCGAAGGGACTGGGTTTGCTTTCCGTTTGTGTACAATTAGCTTGTCTGGTCAGTGTTGGTGGGAGGGTGTTGATGGGAGGGTTTTTGGTGGATCATACAGACCAAGCAGGATGATGCACCAATAGAAACCAAACTGAAGCAAAAGCTCTGGGCGAAAGTTAAGCTGCTTCTTCAGCTTAATAAAAGCAGCTTTGATTTCACTGCCTGGTCAAAGGAAGTCTTCCTTCTCTAATCCTGGGGGCCCCAACGGCCCAGTTGCAGGGCCAGGATGGCAGGTTTACTCCTGCATAAAGTGCCTTCTCCTCCTCTTCCTCCTCTCCCTCCCCCCCCCTTTTTGTCTTAAAAGACACTGTCCCAGCAGCTGAGTGAGGAAGAACTGCAAGAGGGCAGACTTTATCCCGCCCTTTCCAACATCCGGGAAGTGTCCATTAACATAGCTATAAAGGTAAGGACCCATTTCAGAAAAGAACAAGAAATGCAGATAGTCCTCGAATTACAGCCACAATGGAACCCTAATTTTCTGTTGATAAGCGGGACCATTACTAAGTGAGTTTTGCCCCATTTTACGACCTTCCTCGCCACAGTTGTTAAGTGAATCACTGCAGTTGTTAAGTTAGTAAAATGGTTGTTAAGTGTATTTGGCTTCCCCATTCACTTTTCTTACACTGAAAAAAGTGACTTATGATTGTTTTTCACACTTGCGACCATTACAGCATCCCCACGGTCATGTGATCCAAATTCAGACACTTGGCTACTGACTCCTATTTATGACGGCTGTAGTATCCCAGGGTCACATGATCGCTGTTTGTGACCTTCTGACAATGGGGAGGCCAAATTCACTTAAGAGCTGTGTTACTAACTTAACAACTGCAATGATTCATTTAACCACTGTGGCGAGAAAGGTCATAAAATGGGGCACAACTCACTGACTGTCTTGCTTAGCGACTGAAGTTTTGGGCTCAATTGTGGTTGTATGCAGAGAGCTACCTGTAATTTAAATTTCCCCTTTTTCTTCCGTAGGTCATGGAATATTTATACGCCAATCGCATGGCGTTCCATTACCCAGAGCCAGCAGACAAAATTCAGTACATACGATCAAGAATCTGGACATCGGAGTACGAATCCTTTCTACCAGATCTGTACGACTGGCCGGTGTCTACAACCTACTCTTCGGACAAAAGGCGTGTTTGAAATTTTGCTGGGAACAACAACATTTGAAGTAGGATTGACGAAGACTTAAAACTTCCTTTTTGTGCTAAACCATTGAACTGGGTGCATAACTGACACTGAATTTAGTCCCCAGGTTGGACTTCCTCTCTTCTGAGGTGCATAGGAATGGACGGTTGAGTTGAAATTTAATATATTTTCTCTTCTCCCCGGGGAAGCTAGTTGAACAAATAAGGGAAAACCCTTAATTCTTTTTTTAACTTTTGTTAACTGGTCTGCTGTGTGATAAGGTTTTTCTGTACTGTCTCTTTTATGGCTGTAAGCTGCATGGGTTTACACCAAACAGGTTAATTGAGAAGAGAATGTTAGTAAGTTGAGGAAAGAGATTTGGCTTAGTCTCCTTCCCTCCCTCCCTCCCTCCCTCTTTTTCACAGGAGAAGCATCCGGAGATGCTGTCTTCCCTTTTGTAGTCTACACAAAACCCCCAAAGTCTTCATTCTGCTGGAAGCATAAATTGATGACCAAATCACTCCATCCCTTTTTATATTGGTTCTGTTTTTTTGCAACCTCAGTGGCTCCTGGAACTGCCCTACCTGCTGAACTTTTGTGGCCTGAATTGCACAAAGCCAGATTTGCCGAAAGGAGAGGCTTTCCTGTTTCCTTACAGGGCGGATTCAAGCATAGAATTATGTCCTTCTCAGCTCTGCATTTTCTTCCTCTCTGGGAAATATCAGTCATTGTCAGCAAGCAATGCTGCCAGCTCCTGGATCTGTGTGTGTTTGTGTGCTGATGTCCTGCACTTGAATAATTCAGCCTTGTTAGTGGCACTGGCTGCATATCACTTCCCTGGCATTTGTTACACAAATGGACTATTCCCCCCCCTTTCTTTTCAAGTATTTTGTTGTTGTTGTTTTTCATGCTTAAACTGTAACACTCCTTAATCTGAACTTCATGAGGGCTGCTTTCCTCCCAGGTCTCTGTCCCATTGATCTAATAACTGGGAATATGTGCTTCGTTGCCCCCCCCCCCATCCTATGCCCTAAACCAATGTTTCTTAACCTTAATCATTTTAAGACGTTGGACTTCTATCCCAGAATTCCCCAGCCAACATGCCTTAAAACCGCATGCCAAGGTTGGGAAACACTGCCCTAAACAAAGCAAGACACCACTCCAGTAAAAAATAATTTTTTTTACCTCCAGGTAATCTTGGTTTGTGACATGCATATTAGATACGTCAGACCTGGGATCTTTTTACCATTATTTATTTATTTATTTATTTGTCCAGTTGCCTTGCCATGTTTCTGGGAAACTGTTAAGGATATAAAAGCTGTCCTCTTAGATAAGTCAGTCTTTAATTTGCCTGTCCAATAAAAAGAAAGCCAATAATAATAACATCCCCATTTCCTCCAATTAAATTCTACACGCTGCGCTGTCTGCTAGGAAAGCCAGTTGGATATGACAGTGCAGCGTGAAAAAGTGGATGGATTGAGTTTTATTTTATTTTATTCTTCGGGGAATGCAAGAGTGCAGAGCAAACATCTCTGAGAGAAATACCACCGCAGCATTTTAGTTGAAATGGTAATGAAGGGCGATGGTCTCAAAAGGTCACTGCTTCTCCTTTGCCATTTCTGAGAAACGTGGGTTGAGCGAAAGGATTCCAACGTGACATTTTCCTGCTGTAATTTTACCATAATTGGAAGCCTGTTTCATACAGTTGTGCCTCTTAAATTAAGAACTGGTTCAGTGTAGACTTTTCAGATAGCAGGATGAATTTTCATATTAATTTGGCACCAGGAACTTTCTCAGATAGGGTGACTGAAATTGTGTCTAGATTCAGCTTTGAATTGTAGTCTCGGCACATCTAGAGCAGTTTGAGGGGAGATTGCGCAACTCAACTAGGTGTGATAACTACCGTAAATGCCGGCGTACAAGGCGACCCGGCGTATAAGACGACCCCCGTCTTTATCGCCGGGCCGCATTCCTAGAACGTCGTCTTATACGCCGGAAACTACCAGTATTTCCGGTGTATAAGACGACTCGGCGTATAAGATGACCCCCGTCTTTGGCACCGATTTCAGCGCTCGCAGAAGTCGCCTTATACGCCGGCATTTACGGTATTTGGAAACATTACAATCTTGTTTTACAGTGCTGGACTAAAATATTTTATATAGAAGTTTACTTCCCAATTTTTTTTTCCTGTTTGGTTAATTGAGAAAGGTCTGAATGATGTCACCCCTAGCCATCTTTTTTGGGGGGGGGAAGTGTCCTGTGCTGTCAGCAATGTTTCTTTGTTTTCCTCTTCTGTATAATGTAGAAATATTGGTGAAATTGTACTATTTTATATAGGACACTTCAAAGGCACCTTCTCTCAGTTGTACCTGCCCAAAGGGATGGTGTCTATTTGTAATTTAAGAAAACACAAGAAATAACATACTTGCCTAACTTTTAACATTCTCAGAATTTATCTGAGAAAGAATTGGGAAAGAATATTCTCAAATTCCATTTCAGGTGATCTTAGTGCTCAATTCTCTTCCTACTTACATGGCTTTGCAGTCATGTACTTATGGAAGATAGTTGCACGCTCTCAAGAAAACATTTCCTAGTGGTCCAAGAAATGAACATGGGTGGTGTAGTTGACCAACACCTGAATAAACTATATGGGGCCATGTTGTTCATCAAGATAGTACATATAATTGAGATGAATTCATAATGACTTTCTATTTATGAGTGGAAATTTATACTAGAAAGTACTGGCAATATTTGCTAGACTGCACAATTCGATATAAATACAAGTACAATAATATTTTATCCCATATTTATCCACAAAGTTCTCTGTCGGGTTGGCTCAGCCTGGACTGTGCCACCAACAGTGCTGGTATTGGGATTTTAAGTCAAAGTCCAAATCACCTAAAGGAGGTTGAAGTTTAAGAAAGGCCCTGAATGTCTCTATACCCAAAATACCTGTAGCAGAAGATAGCTCTCTGCAACGTTTAATTGGCATAATTGGCTTTAAATATACAGACTGCCAGCAGTCTACAGCTGTGCTTCTCATCCTTGTCAGCTTTTAAGTCATGTGCACTTCAACTCCCAGAATTCTCCCAGACATGCAGAATTCTGGGAATTGAAGTACGTATGTCTTAAAAGTTGCCAAGGATGAGAAGGACTGCTGTATAAATTACGGCCTCTATGTAGTTGGCTGAATTTGAGTAAAGTATGTGATTTAAATATTTTTGTCAAAATACTAGGTTCAGACGTACCTCTTGTTGACCGATACGTTTCAAGACGTACAAATTCCTACAGCGAGGGAAGAAGCCCACTTTGAACTGTTCATTCCAGTTCCACATGACATAGATTATTATTATTCATTATTAAGTAGGAAGGATTTTCAAATTCTAAATGCTCAGAAACAAATGTCATGTGTACGTTGGAAGGGATATCACTTTTTAATCACAAGATCTTCCTTTTGGGGCACTTAAGCTTCTATGAGCTTTTTTTAGACAAATCTGCAGTAATAATTTTTTATTGTAAACTACCCAGAGCTATTTAGGTAAGATACGCAGTGTAAAAATGTGATGAATAAAAAAATAATAATTTGATGGACAAATACAATTTTTCTCCCTCCCATCCCCAATTTAGGTTGAGGTACCGTAATTTAGAAAATAACATAATATTACTTTGAGGAAGCTTGCTGAATAAATATGTCAGATTCATTAGAAAACACCTTAGGAAAACTTTTATGCTGTTTAAAATTTTTTAATTTAAAACATGTTCCCTTATAAATGTATTATCGTTTGAAAAATGGGCATCTTTGTCTGCTCCTTTCAGCTGATTTTCTTTTGCTTGGGCCTCAAAATTATTTTTATTTTTAGCAGTTTTCTACTTGCTGATTCCCATTAATTTTGATTTTTTTTAAATGATGACAACTTACACTGCAAGTTGCTTTTAACTTTCAACAGCTGTGTTGAATGATTCTTTGTGATTATGATGGAAAATGAATGCCATTTCGTAGGAAGGGATAAATTTTTTTTAGTGAAGGTCACAATCCTTGGATTGGATTTTTGAATCCAAGAAGCTGGGTGGAGTTGGAGTGCAACTTAGCTGATTAGTAAACTTGGTTTAATTCTCCTTTATCATCATATATCTAGTTCAGCGAAGAACTTGTTCGCACAAGCTGGAAACCAATCAGGCCGTGTTTGTGAAGTTCCAGTTATGTCCCTTGGAATTGGCCCTAATTTGAGGCCCAAGAAAAAGGGACCATTTTCTTATAGCCAGTGTCTCTCAAACATGGCCACTTGAAGCTATGTGGACTTCAACTCCCAGAATTCCCCAGCCAGTCCACATATCCTCAAGTGGCCAAGGTTGAGAATTGCTGTTATAGGTGAATGAAGGCAAAGAAGGATGGTGCTTCAGATCTCTTGCCTGTAGGTAATCTTGAAAACCTGAACAGGGAATAATGACATCCCAGTTAATAATGATAAAGTAATGTGTAGATTCCATTGATTATTCTATTACGTAAAACATTTTCCTTCCTTACCTGCCACAGCTGGATGTGTTCAGACTGTAATTTTGAGAACGTGACTTCACACAGGACTGCTGGACAGAGGAGGCTGGTATAAAGCCTCCTGGGGGAATTTAAAGCAAATTATGCCTCGGTGGGAGCGTTTCTCCCAACTCTCAGGATATAACTCCCCCCCCATAGATATTGTTTATTGCAAAGGGAGCCTTTAAAAAACAAGCACCATGTTTGTAAGATGCATATGTTTTGCTAATGTTGTAATTGTACGAAGAGATGAGCTGTGGCTGTCTTTTTTCATAGTAAAAGCTTTTCCTTTTTGCCTACAGTTATGTGAGTAATTGTTTTATTTTGCTGAGTTGTGCAAAAGCCTTTTCTCATCTACAGCAAGCACACCTGCTGGTGTTGGTAGGCTATGTAGTCCAACAGCTCGGGAAGAACCCAGTTAGGAAGAGGCTGCCTTAGTGGAATGCCCGTTATCCTGTCCAGCTTCTTCTGATGTCGCCCCATCACTGGATCAGTACCCAGTGAAGGTTGCTGAAGCCTAAATGAATTGCAGGTGGCAGAAAAGTTTGCAGGTAGTCGTCAACTGATACAACAGTTTGTTTAGTGACCATTAGAAGTTATAACGGCACTGAAAATGTAACTTATGATCATTTTTCACACTTATGACTGTTGTGGCATCCCCATGGTCATGTGGTCAAAATTCTGACTCATATTTATGACGGTTGCAATGTCCTGATGTCATTTGATCACCTTTTGTGACCTGGCAAGATGGGTCAGTGGGATGCCAGATACACTTAACAACCGTGTTCCAAGCTTAAAAACTGCAATGACTCACTTAACAACTGTGGCAAGAAAAGTTATAAATTGGGCCAAAATTCACTTAAAACAAATGTCTCACTTAGCTACTGAAATCTTGGGCTCAATTGTTGTAAGTCGAAGATTACTTGTACATGCCCAATGTTATCAGTTTGCAGCTGCAAAATTCCAGATGGTCATGAAAAAGTTGGCAAAGGGCTTTCCTATACAGATAGCCCTAAATTTAGGGCCAGAATTTCCGTTGCTAAACAAGGCAATTGTTAAATGAGTCTCACCCAATTTTATGACTTTTTTTGCCACAGCTGTTAAGTGAATCACTTTGGGTGCTAAATGAATCATAGGGCCATTAATTGAATCCAGCTTGTTGGAAGCTGGATTTGCTTGTTGATTTTGCTTGTTGGAAGCTGTCTGAGACGTCACAATTGTGACTCCCGGGATGCTGCAACCCTCTTAGTACATGTCAGTTACCAAGCATCCAAATTTTGATCACATAACCATGGGATGCTGTGACAGGCATTTGAGGACCAGGCGCAAGTCACTTTTCTCAGTGCCACTATAGCTTTGAACGGTCGCTAAATGAATGGTTGTAAGTTGAGGAGTACTGTACCTGTATCTCTGCTGCCATCTACTGGTAGTTCCAATTTTTGCAATCCAAATACAGTAGCCATAGCTGTGTTTCCCAACCTGACCCACTTTAAGGAGTTTGGACTTCAGTTCCCAGAATGCTCCAGCCAGCATGGTCATTGCTAAGTATTCTGGGAGTTGAAGTCTACACATCTCAAAATCGCCAAGGTTAGGAAATAGTACCATAATTTAAGGTGTTACCATTCTTAAGAAAAAGGCAGCCAAATGGGTACTAGTGAGAATATAATGCCTTCATTAAATTTATATCCCTTTTCCACTCAAAATAGTGCTCAAGGGGATTAACTGACATTCATGTAAGTTATACTGCTGATTATAAAACCCTCACAGGAATAATTTAGAGTGCCAAGGAGATTTAAACTTATTTGAACAATTTACCTCATTGTAGCAGCAGTAGAGTTTTATTATGCTTTTATAGCTAACTACGGTCTCCAGCCGTTCCATGGCCCACAGGTTGGGCACCCTTGTTCCAGTTGAACGCCCTGCTCAGGCAGGAGAACCAGTCCCATCCCAGACAAGTGGCTGTCCAGTCCCTTCTTGAGAGCCTTCAGTGTTGGAGCGCCCACAACTTCTGGAGGCAGGCTGGTAAATTGTCCTATCAGGAAGTTCTTCCTTAGTTCTAGGTTAGACCTCTCTTTAGAACAGGGGTCCTCAACCTTGGCAACTTTAAGACTTGTGGACTTCAACTCCCAGAATTCCTCAGCCAGCAAAGTTGGCTGAGGAATTCTGGGAGTTGAAATCCACACGGCAGAACATGTCAGCGCCCTCTTCTCTGGGGCCCCCTCTCCAATATCGCAAGGCCGGGTCGCTCCCTGGGCCGCCGCCTCCTCTTCGCCAGGCCAAACGTACCGGGTCCCCACGAGGAAACCTCCGTGTGCTTTAGCAGCGGCTTTGGTGGCCGCTGCAGCCGCCCTGTTGGCCCCTGGTGCCGCGACTGTCCACGGGGACTCCCCACCGACGCCCGAAGAAAGTTGTCTCCACGCGGCCACTCCCGTAGGAGTCAGAAGGGCCTGGAGGGTGCGAAGCCAGCGGCCGATCTTCCTCCCTTCCCCGTTTCAGGCCCACGTCAGCCTGGCCGCTCGGCGCGGGCACCGCACGAAGGGAGCTCGCCTCGCCAGCGCTCGCGCCTCCTCGGGAGGGCGGGAAAGGCGCCGCGAGAGGCCGGACTGTCTGCTCGCTCCTCCGAAGTCACGCGGCGAGCGTAAGGAAGCGAGCCGCGGCTCCCGCACTTCTTCCCAACCCCGTTTCCCGCCCGGCCAGAAGAGGCCGGGGACGGTGCAGAGGCCGGGCCGGGGGAGCCGGGCGCCTCCGCCTGAGCGGGTGTCTGAGCCCGGGGCGCGGCGGCGGCGGCGCCCAGGCGGGGTTCTGCTTCTGCCGCGGATCCGCGCCTCGCCCCGGCCCGCCGGCAAAGCTGAGCTTCGGGAGCCAGGCGGGAGGGGGAAGGCCTAGAACGGAGCCCTCGCCAACGTTCCGCGGGGGTCCCCGCGCGCTCTCCCGGGGGGGGGGAGGAGAGGGAGTGTTGCAGGATTTATTCCTTCGGCTGAGGCCGAGCGGCCTTCTCTGCCCGGGCGCCGCCCCCCCTCGCCCGGTATCCCCTCCTCCCCCCCCCCCGGGCACCCATCCCGGCGTTGGGAGCGGGCCGCGGGGGAGCTTTCGGGGACGGAAGGAGCCCAGCGCTTCGGGCCTTCCGTGCTTTCGCAGGAGGGGGAAGGGGCGATTCCCCCCCTCACCCCATATGAACCCCCAGCTCTCCTTGTTCCGCTCACACACACACACACACACCCCAAGCGTGCCTGATAGTTACGTGTTGCTTTTGGGTCTGGCGTGCCGGGGTGGGGAGGGGGGGTCTATGAAAAGGAGGGGCTCCTGCCAGGGCAAGAAAAGAGAACAAACTTCCGACGGTTCCTTCTTCGCCTTTCTTTCCTCCTGGCGTCCCCACACGGTCAAGTATTCAGAATTCAGAGGCTTGGCCATGGGCTCCTGTTTAGGACAGTTGCAGCATCCCGGCGGCGTTACATGATAAACTTTGGCGACCTTCTGACAAGGAAAAATCAATGGGGAAGCCAGGTTCACTTAACAACCATGTTACTAACTTAACAATTGCAGTGATTCACTTGACATCTGGCAGGAAAGGTAGTAAAATGGGGCAAAATTCACTTATTTATCTTAGCAACCGAAATGTTGGGCTCAGTTGTCACAAATCCAGGACTTAATTGGATTAATGGTAATTATTTTTTGGTGGGGATAGAATCAAGTGCAAATCTAGCCTTTGAGTTAATTTCTGGGTTGTTAAGTTGTGGAAACCCAAAATATGGGTTTATTCAGTAACCAGGTTAGCCACAGTATATATAGCTTGAATATAGTGAGTTTTAAATCCTTCGGTTTTAATGTCTTAATTCTCCACTGTGTACATCCACTGACTGACACTAGCTCTTTGAATGAGGTACAGTTGTAGTTGAACCCTTTATCGAGGAAAGGCTTACAACTGAAATGGCAAAGTACATTTTTTAAGAATACCATTTTGCTGAGAGTCATGGGTGGGTGATTGGATGCAAGTATTTTATTCCTAGAGGGAAATATTCCTGGAATGACTTACACGAGATCAAGTAGAATAATAATAAAATAAAAATGAAATTTAGACTTATAATCTAAATCAGTGGTTTCCAATCTTTCTGGCTCTGTGGTCCAGCAGTGGTGCGTGCTGGGAGAGGCTTCATGCGTGCGCACGTGGCCACTTGCCGATCACTTCCGTGCCCTGGTGAGGATTGGGGATCCTTGATCCAAATGGCAGGTTTTCTCAATTCTCCAGCTATTTTGGTTTTCGTTTCCATAATTTGCAACCTTCAGCCACAAGGATTGAAAATTAGAGGAGAGGAATTCCCAGGTATCTAGGGAGGAGACTGAAGTAAAAGGATGAGAAAGGGGGTGGAAGAATGAAGAGGGAAAACTTAAATAAACAAACAAACCTACCTCCTGGGCTGGGATGGGAAGTAAGTTCTGTTTTCCTGCTTGGCCTTTTTTGAGATCTAATCGTTTCATTTAAAAATCAAACCAGGAGACCCTCCCAGATCTGATGTCCAGGTATCATTCTTTTCTTTTAGTTGCCCTTTGAGTAAAATGTCCATGGATATAACATTTCTGGGAACGGGGGCTGCATACCCATCTCCGACAAGAGGGGCCTCGGCTACGGTGATCCGTTTTGAAGGGGAATGCTGGCTGTTTGACTGCGGTGAGGGAACCCAGACACAATTTATGAAAAGTAATCTCAAAGCAGGTGCGTTGAAGAGGTTGTAAATAACTTTCCAGATGCTGGGAGAAGTTGGGAGGGCCTGGTCTTTTGCAGAATTAGAATAAAATAGAATAATAGATTTAGTTGGAAGGGACCCTGGAGGTCATCTAGTCCAAACCTCTGCTCAAGCAGGAAACCCTATAGACTATTTCAGACAGATGGCTGTCCAGTCTCTTCTTAAAAACTTCCAGTGTTGGAGCATTCACAACTTCTGGAGGCAGAGAGTTCCACTGATTAATTATTCCCACTGTCAGGAAGTTTCTCCTTAGTTCTAGGTTGCTTCTCTCCTTGATTATTAAAAAGTTGTAGTGTCCTGCAGTCACATGACTACAATTGGTGACTTTTTTTGTCACTTTCCAGCAGAAAAGTCCTTGTCCTCTTGCTTTTATCTCCCATTTATTTTTAACTTTAATTATGTGCAGCCCTGGATGCTATCAATCTTATTTTATATTGTTAGGCAAGATTACCAAGATTTTTATAACTCATCTGCATGGGGACCACGTCTTTGGCCTTCCGGGACTGTTGTGTACAATCAGCCTGCAGTGTAGTCCTGACGCCCGCAAGCTGCCAGTGGATATTTACGGGCCCCTTGGGCTAAAGGATTTTCTCCAGACAGCCATGGCGCTTTCCCGTTCTCAGCTGCTTTTCCCTTACGTTGTCCACGAACTGGTTCCCACTTGCAACCAGTGCCCTGAAGAAGAATGGGCTGACGTGTTTGCTGGGAAGCGAGGCGAGGTCAGCTGTCCAGAGCCACCAGGGGACATGATTCACCTGAATCTCGCAGACGACTCGTACTTCTTGGAGGACGGTGGGCCGGTCGTGGTGAAGGCTTTCAGATTGTTTCATCGTATACCTTCTTTTGGTTTTCTGGTCGAAGAGAAGCCACGGACTGGCAAGCTCAACGCTCAGAAATTGAAGGAATTAGGTAGGAGTGCATCTGGCTCTGCTGGTTATTATACAGCTGTTCCTTGACTTACAACCATTTGTTTAGTGACAGCTTGAAGTTACAACAGCATGGAAAAAATGACTTATGACCTTTTTTCACACAACCATGGCTAATCCCCGTGGTCACGTGATAAAAATTCGGATGCTTGGCAACTGGTTCCTATGTACGATGGTTGCAGTGTCCCAGGGTCATGCGGCCACCTTTTGCAGCCTTCAGTGGGGAAACCAGATGGCCTGTTAACTAACTTAACAACTGTCCCAAAGGTGCTTTTTTCAAGAGGCAACTGGACTTCCCTGTTTTTCCTTTGAAGACATTTTGCTTCTCATCCAAGAAGCTCCGTCAGCTCTTGACTGGAGGGTGGGGAATGGAAGGGTTTAAACTCCTTGCAGACAGCTGGTCATTCATTTGCCTTCTTTGAGATGAGAGTCCTTGAGGCCGTCTGGAGGTTTATCTCGGTGTCCTCAGGGTCACCTGAGTGGTGCAAATGGGGGTGGAGCCTCCTTGGCTGCGGGATGTTTCCTGCCCTGGGTCCCTTCAGTGAAAACCAGAAAGTCCAGCTGCCTCCTGAAAACGCACCTTTGGGACAACCAGGACCTGGATGACCGAGACTCTCCATAGAAACGTAGCAACTGCTGTGATTCACTTAATAACTGTGGCAGGAAAGGTCGTAAAATGGGACAAAACTCACTCAATGGCTGTCTCACTTAGCAATAGAAATTTTGGGTTTAGTTGTGGACATAAATTGAGGACTACCTGTAAAAGCTGATATTTCCAGAAGAACCGTGTTATTGGTATTTTGTAACAGAAATAGGCTTTTAGGTTATTTTCAACCAGCTTGAAATACGGTTGCATGGATCAGAATTCACTTCAGAAATAATGGAAAGGGAAGGAAGAGAGAAAATGACTGTATTGGTGATCAAAGCCTGTATTTGGTGTGTTACACACACCTTCAATTCCTTCTAGCTACATCTCCCATTTAGTAACTGCCCAGAAAAATAACTGTGTGGATTCTTCGCAGCAGAAATAACAGAGTTTGTTAAGAATAGAAACTAACCAGTGTATATGCTTTTGTGCATTATATCTTCAGATGCATGAAGTATATTATCTACTCCTCATGCCTGTAATTAAAACCACCCCACATAGCAGGTCCGTAGAAGGAGGGAGTCCTTGTTTAGTGATCACAACTGTGACTGGCAACTTGGTTGTTAAGTTGGAACAGTTGCTAAGTGAAACCATGAGAGTGCTTGTCATCTGATTTCAGTTTTTCTTTGCTTTTCAGACCTGCGAAAGTTGTAAATGTGAGAATTGGTCACAGTTACCGTAAATGCCGGCGTACAAGGCGACCCGGCGTATAAGACGACCCCCGTCTTTATAGCCGGGCCGCATTCCTAGAACGTCGTCTTATACGCTGGAAACTACCAGTATTTCCGGCGTATAAGACGACTCGGCATATAAGACGACCCCAGTCTTTGGCGCCGATTTCAGTGCTCGCGGAAGTCGTCTTATATGCCGGCATTTACGGTACTTTTTCATTACTGTTACAACTGCAAATAGTTGCTAAATGAGGCAGTCACTAAACAAGGACTACCTGTACTATTTTACTCTGGGAAAATTGAAAAAGAGAGATTTTCAGTTCCATCTTTATACCACCAGCTGAACTAGAGTGAATTTTTGCAGCACTTTTGCAGATATTACATGCATGACTATGACACAAAGCTTGGTGACTAATAGCTTTTCGAGCAGATGAAATGCATGATTCGTGCTTGAACTCGTTTTCTCCCCCCCCCCAAATATTAAGATGTTCAAAAGGATACTAGAAGAGGAAAGATTGTGGATGAGGGGACAAGTGAAAGCAAGTATAAGTGCAGTATTAAGATGAGTGGCATATAAATTTAATAGAATAAAAATGAGAGAAAAGTTTCAATTTTGTGTGCACAGCTTTTTTATTATTGTTTTATCATAGAGAATAAAATATAAAACAGTAAAACAAGCAAAATGAAACAAAAGCATAAATTCAACACTAACAACAAAAAAGAAAAAAATAGTGTACAGAAAAAATGGTCCATTAAATTTATCATGTGCAGTTTCAAACACAAGTATTCATAAGGTCTAGAAATTTGATCTCTTTAGAAGGGGAAGGTTGGTGGATTTTAGAGTTATGGAATTACTGCACCAGAAGTTTTTTTTTTTTAATGAAAAATAAACTGCACAAAAGTTACTCTTATTCCTGTTCTTGAATTTCTAGGAATTCTGCCGGGCCCCTTATATGGGAAATTGAAAGAAGGTGTTCCGATTACTCTGGAAAATGGGGCAATCGTCTCTCCTACGGATGTCTTAGGAAGTCCTTTTCCTGGAAGAAAAATTTGCATTTTAGGAGATTGCTCGGGTGTGGTTGGGGACGGAGTGAGGTTGCTTTGCTCTGAAGCCGATATCTTGATTCATGAGGCCACGCTGGATGACAGCCAGGTGGACAAAGCCAAAAAACGTGGCCACAGCACGCCAAAAATGGCAGCAGAGTTTGCTAAGCTGTGCAAAGCGAGGAAGTTGGTCCTCTCTCATTTTAGTCAAAGATACAAACCTGCGAATCAGATGGGGGAAGGAGATGCAGACGTTACAGAGCTGAAAAAGCAAGCTGAGATGGTTTTGAATGGACAAGAAGTGGTATTGGCCGAGGATTTTATGACAATTAGTATTGCAGTTAAAAAATCAAAATAGGACTGCTGGACAACAAAATGGAAATTGGCAGGTATGCAAAAACTCCAGCTGTGATTTTCTTTCAGGTGATCATCTTGGAAGGGACTGAAGGAAATTCGGTTTGAATTAGGATGAGCCTCTTCTTATAAACATCTGTTCTTTATTGCATCCAATATTTCTGATGCATTTGAAATGTTGACAAGGATTAAATGTGCTTTTTTATGTGCTAGGCCTTTGCAAGAGGGATTCCTTCCTCATAAGACAACTCTGCGTGTTTTAGTTATTTGGAACTGAGGACCTCATGAACAAAGGCTGCGGTTTTTTAAACGCTCAGTAATAACATGGGAATAATTGAAGTTAGGGGTGGAAAACATGCTTTGAGGAAATATGCACCTATTCAATTGGGAGATTTGTCCTCTTAATGCAGAGTGCATAAGAGTGTGCCAAGAATGAATTTGAACAATCAGTATTCTGTTCCAAACTGAACAGGTTGCTTTCTGTACAGTCCAAACAGATAGATAACTCAGAAGAATAAACAGAAATATAGCTTTTATTCTGGGAATTCTAGACAATGACTTACAGTCACGTGGAGATGCATCCAGAAGCACATGTTTGCAATATTGGTTTATTCCCCAGGTAAATTGACATTGGATTTTCCCCTCTTCTCTTCCTGAGCGTCACATGTTGGTGAGGATCTCCTAACCATGTGGCTAGGAACCATGCGGCTGGTAAACAAATGATCCCATCTGGCTTGTGTCCAGGAAGTCTCTCAATGACCTTTGATACTCCTCCCACTGACCCATCAGCATACGTAGCATTTAACCCAATAACTGCCAGACACTCCAACACACTGATACCTGCTCTCTAGTTAGGGCTACATAGAGCTATACGGTCCATGGAGCTATACGTTCCAGAATAATCGGCATTTTCTGAAAGTGTAATAAATGCAGAATACTTATGCTGAAAATACGAAATACAAAAAATGAATAAAATAGAGAGTTAACAAACTTCTTAAAGAAGTCACAAAAAAGCTCTACACTTCCTTTCTTCAACCAGATCCTGACAGTCCATTTTACCTCTTCGTTTAAGTCAAATTCCCATAAAATTATTCTATCAATTTTTAGCAAAAGTTGGAAGTAATACAGTGTCAAACAGATGGACTAAGATAAGGAGATCCAAGTTTGCAGTTGGCTCTGGGGTGGCTTGTGAGATGTGAAGTCCAGCCTTGTCATAATGGAACAAAATTTCCATATTGTGCTTCTAAACTTGATTAATTGTTGCTTCAATATTTCAAGTATTTCGGTATCACAAAATTTTCAGAAAAAGAGATGGAAAGAACTGTCATCACCTGGCTGAACGCAAAATGTGAATAGTTGTCTGTCATTGGCAGAAGTATGTAGGAAATGGTGGTGATTATAGGTCTCCTCGCTTGATGACCAATTATTAGCAACTGTTTGGAGTCACAGTTAATCCTTGACTTACATCTATTTGATTAGTGATTGTGCGAAGTTACAACAGCATTGAAAAAAGTGATGTATCACATTTTCACACCTTATAACCATTGTGGCATCATCCCCCATGGTCATGTGATCAAAATTCAGGCTCTTGGCAACTGGCTCATATTTATGACAGTGTGATCCCCTTTTGCCAAGTCAGTGGGGAAGCCAGTTTCACTTAACAACCATGTTACTGACTTAACAACTGTGGCAAGGTCATAAAATGGGGCAAAATTCATTTAATTGTCTTGCTTAGGAATGGACATTTTGGGCTCAATTATGGTTGTAAGTTAAGGATTACCTCTGCAATGTTGCTGAATAAATTGTAATAATGGCTGGTCCTGTAAGGTAACTGCTGTTGCAGCACCCCCATGTTCATGTGATCAAAATTTGGGTGCTTGGCAACCTGCCCACATTTACAACTGCAGCATGTGCTTCAACTCCCAACTCCTGGTTATCTCCATCTCTTGCACTTTGGGCTGCCCTCCACTCCCACAACCACCTGTATCTGCTGCCCCCTACTGGTCCCAAGTGACCTGCACAATCTTCTTCCTCTGCTGCTGCTGCTGCTGCTTCTGAGGTGTGCCAGGCTGAGGCAGCTGCTGGTCCTTCATGAGCTTTGTTAAAGTCTATGCAACTCAAAATTCCTGAGGTTGAGAAACGCTGGTCTATGCTAATTATTTGCAATCTTGTTTCCAGGGTTTCCGGGAAGTTATTGCACCTTTTGATATACGAATATAGAAATAATGTGAATTCTTGCCCCTTGCTTCTTGCCTGCCTTTTATCTTATTTTTGCCAGCTGTTTTTGATGTTTGCTATTTTTTAATAAATGAACATCAAGCTGTATTCTTGTTAGGTGAACTTAGGGCTGTGGCTGTGGATTGAAAGATTGAGTGGGAGCGTGCTGAAGGCAAACTGCGTTGGAACCTAACTGGTAGTTTCCCAAAACTCAGATGATAAAATGAGGACTTAGAGACAGACTATAGAGTGGAGCCAACATTAGGGAAATTGAATCTGTTCAAAGATTAGATAACTTGGGTTGATGCAATCCAGCTGTGACTTAACTCAATTCAGACATAAACACTACAGAAAACCAGTTGTGGTTTTGAAATGCTTTGGTAAGCAGTTTTGGTTTGCTTTTTGTGTATATGTGTGGCAAGAAGGGCAGCATTAGTCGTTAGGGGTAGATGTTTTCACTCACTGGGGCATTGCAGTTCATTTACTGGCACAGCAAAAGAGCTTTGAGGAATCTGGAGACACAATGTGGTTTATCCATTTTTAGAATAATGTGTTCTTGCCCCTTCTTTTTTGTTCTTCCATCCAAGTGCATCCAGAAGTTAAGTCCCACCTTAGCTGAAATACTTCAGATCTGATTTTATACTTGGCAAACACAAAAGGTTGAATCTTTCCCATACAAATAGAAAGTGATTTGGACGAAGAAGATTCTAACTACAGGTGGTTCTGGACTTAAAACCACTCATTTAGTGACCATTCAAAGTTATAATGGCATTGTGACCAGTTTTCACACTTATAACCGTTTCAGCATCCCCTACACCAGGGCTTTTCAACCTTTTCACCCATTGTACCATTTTTAGGATATGGCAACATCCGAGTACCACCAGTCGCCTAGCAAGGTGTCAAAAACTTGATGACCAAAACAAAAAAAAAAAGAAAAAAGTGATGAAGTACTGGTAGTCCTCGACTTACAACAGTTCGCTTAGTGACTATTGGAAGTTACAATGGCACTGAAAAAAGTGCTCCCCAAGTCGCAGCCGAGCAAGACACCAAAGGTTTTCATTGTTGTGAGCATTTCTGTTCAGGATTGGCAGCGGGGGTGGGGTGGGGTGTGTTTGGTTTATATTCCCCCCCCTCCCGTCTGCTGGGTGGTTGCAGCAGGTTTTGATCACTTCACATGACCCTGGGACACTGTGACTATCATAAATATGAATCAGTTGCCAAGCATCTGAATGTAAATAACAAGACCCTGGAGAGGCTGCAACATTCCAGCTAATCAGTGCTTCTGGGCTCAGCAGAAGCGCCAGGATCAGTGCTGCTTTCCAGCTGGAGCCTGGCCCTGATCCTGGCGCTTCCGCTGAGCCCTGACAGCCCTGCAGCTCCAGCCGTCTCTCGCTCAGGCTTGTGTGGTGCTGCCACCGGTTCAGCTCATTCCCCTCCCCCACTACCCCTTTTCTAGGATGGTCGCGTACCATCTGCCAGGTGCCAATGTACCACAGGTGGTACCCGTACCACTGGTTGAAAAGCCCTGCTTTTACGTACATGATCAAAATTCAGACACCTGGCAGCTGGCTCATATTTATGACAATTGCATGTCTTAGAGTCATGTGATTATCTTTTGCAGCCTTCCAACAAGTAAAATCAATGGGGAAGCCACTTAATAACTCTTACTTACTAAACAACTGCATGAAATGAAAGTGATTCATTTAAATAGGGCAAGAAAGGTCATAAAGTGGAGCAAAACTCAACAGCTGTTTTGCGTAGCAGTGAAAATTTTGCGTTCAATTGTCGTAAGTTGACTACCTGTCCCCTTTTTAAATAGCAGGAATTGAGTTTATCAAAGTTTCCCTCTTGTTCTGTGCCAGGAGCCTGATAAAATTCCTGTAATCATCATAGGAGTTGTTTTCTCCTTAACAGTCCAAGCTAAACAGTCATCCATTTTGATACAGATCTTGTGGGGATTTGTTTTTTGATTGTTCTCTTTGAATTCTTAGCTCTCAAATTGAAAAAAAATATTACATCTTACAGGATGCATCCAGACAAGGGTGAGAAAAAAAATAGGAAAAAAGTAATTAAGATAAGTGGCATATAAATGTAATAAATGGTAAATAAATATTAACTTGCTTTTTTCTCTTTTTACGTTTTACTTTTAATTTTCTTATACTGTTTAAGTGAGAGCAACAAAAACAAAGCTGCAATGCAGCAGATGAAAAATCTGAGTGACTTGTAGTAAAACAGCTATGTGAGCGGGTAGTTCCCGCTTATTCCTGGGTATCTCCAGTTCAAAAAAAGGCTTAGAGAACGGGAAGATGCTTTTTGCTTGAGACCCCCAAAGGTCTACCCACAGGTAGCAGTGTTTTCCTCTTTGGCAACCTGAAGACTTCAACTCCCAGAATCCTCCAGCCAGCCTGCTTAAGTCCACGGTCCACTTGCTCTTATGGCTAGAAGGCTCTTTACAGCCTAACACTCCGTCAAAGACCCGCCTGAGCTGAAGTTCATTCAGAAGCGACAGGCACTACACGTGACCTTGTTCTCCCTCGGGGATTGGACGAGCGCGGTTCTCTAGCCAGCGTCTGATGGCTGCCGTTCATTTTGACCGTGGGAATGCTAACTGCCTCGAACGGAAAAGGAATATAGGATAGAAAACAGAATAGAATAAAGAACAGAATAGAATACTTTATTGTCACTTGAAATGTACACTTAATCACTATAAATTAAAATGAGATTTCCTTGCATTCGGCTCTCAAAGGGTCACCGCCTCCAATATACGCCGCATGGAACAAAAAATAAATTATGCGTATAGCCACATACACACAGATGTGTGGCCCGGAGAAACAACACAGTCTAGTTCGGATGTATACGTGTACCTGGCGAAAAAAACGAATCTTGTGAGTTTACCAATTCGTGGGAAGGTGGCGCCAAACGTGCTGGAGCCGAACCGGTCGGGTGCGAGCAATCCGTTCCGGGGGTGGGCGCAGGAGGCATGTTTGGGCTGGTGGGCAGCAAAAGCGCTCGTGGGAACGGACAGAAACGTGGAGAGCCAGGAGGGGGGAAGGGCGGGTGTTGAGAAGCGGGGGGAGAGGCGGGACCAGCCTTATTGCCCCAAGAGGCCCCCTCCCCCCTCCAGGCCTGCTTCCAGAGGTTCCGGTTCCGCTCGACCGGAGGGGGGGAGGGCCGTTTGGGGGCCGAAAGAAAATTTTCCCAGCTGCTTCGAGGGCACCTTTACCTGACGGAGGGGGCTGATGAGCGCGACACGCTTTGCGTGGGCACCGCAGCTCTACGAGGGGGGTCGCGCGTGGGTGGGAACATGAAGAGCCACGGCAAGGAAAAAAGCCAAGTCCGCCCTGACCCCTCCCCGTTCTCTTTCAGGGCGGGCGGCAACTTCGAAACTAAAGAAACACAGCATTTCCCCTCCCCAAAGTTTTTCCCAAAGTTCGCGGCCGCGCCCTCCCGCGGCGTTCTCCAAGACGCTCTTCCAGCGCGTTATGGGACGGGTGTGAGCATGCGCACCACGCTCGCCCGACTGGGGAGCTCGTGTTGCGGAACCAGCCAGGGAGAGAGCGCACGGGAGCCAGGGAGGTGAAGGGGAAACCCGGATGTGGCGCATGCGCCGCGGAGCCTGACTGGACCCGTCTGCGGCAGCGGCGGCGGCAACAACAACACGACGACGCAGGCGGGGGCCGCCGTCGTCGCCTGGAACGTCCTTCCCTCGCGCCTGGAGGCCGTTTGCGCGCGCGCGCCGTGAGGGAGCCGCGCCGCCCCTCCCCCCTCTCTCTCCGGGAAGGCGGAGCGAGGAGGAGGAGGGGGAGAAGCGGAGCGGCGGAGGGGGCGCTGAGGCCCCTCGCAGGCCGACCGCGGCGACGGCGGCCCCGGCGGGGTCCCGACTGAGGCCCAGGTAACGCCCCTTCCGCCCCGCTTTCTGCCCGGAGCCCCCGCTTGGCTTCCTCTCTCCCGCGGCAGCGGTCGCCCCCAGCGCCGGAGGGCTGCAGCCCAGCCTCCGCCGCCGCCTCCTCAGGCGCCTAAGGGGACTGCAACGCCCATCGTCCCCAGCCCGCGGGGAGGGGAGGGGAGGGAAGCGCTGCGCGACCGCTGGGGAGGCTGCGGCGGCCGCGCTGGGTCCGTTGCCAGCGAGAAGAACAAAGAGCCCGGCCTCCCCCTCCCGAGCCCTCCCCCCACAGGGGGGGAAGGGGAGAGAGACCCGGCAGGGCCCGCTTCCTCGGTGGTGAGTGGCCGCGGAGTCCCGGCCAGGGGAGGCCGCGTCGTCGGGAGGGCGAGGAGACCGGCGCCGCCTCGCAGTTTGGCCCAACGTTTGCGCCCGCCTCGCCCGCTTCTAAAATGGAGCCTTGCCCGGATTTCGTTTGCCGCTGCGCTTCGTTCGGCGCTTGCAATCAAAGCCCCGGAGGGGGGGGGGGAGGGGGCGGTTGCCCCAAAGGCAAAAAGAAAAAGAAAAGCATTGCGGAGAGAGAGAGAAGGAAGGGTTGCAGGACGGCTTTGTCGAGTCCGGGGAAGATGTTGGGGTTAGGAGTTTCGCTTTTTTATGTTTTATGTTACTCTCGTCGGGTTACTTGGTTTCTGCCCCCGACGCTTTTCCTGGCGACTTTGGGGGATCCTGGGCGGTGTGGCTCGTCTTGGCTCGGGCCGAGTCGCTTCCCAGCCCACGTGCGCCGGGTTTTTTTAAAAAATAATTCTCGCAGGACTTTCGGGTGGAGGGGAGCGCGCGAAGAGGGACACGCCAAAAAGTGATACCGAATCGAGTGCAAACTTTGTATCTGATTTTCCTAGGTGCTGAATTGAAAGTTGCTTGAGTGTAATCTTTAAATGTTTATTGTGATGAATGTTTGCATAATAAATATTTACAATATAGAAGGGGTAAAGTGTCTGTTTTCATGTTCTGGGGGAAAAAAAACCTGCTTTCGAGGATCGTATTTCCTGAGGATTTTATCTTTGTTACTAACGTTTTTTACTTTGTTACTGGAGTTGTTATGGAGTAAGGAACTTGATCGTAGATTTGTTTCTGTTGCACGTGCCTTTCTATACTACTTGTTTTCAATATTAGTCAAACTTAAAGCGCTGTAGACAAATAATGTAGAAATGAAAACTGATACTGGA